ATTCTTTATGTTTTTCTTCTTTTTGAAAGAAGATTAGAATATCATTTAAATAATAAATTACAAACAAGTTGAACTCTTTGAATATTTTATTATTCTATTATTAATATATAACTAATATTATAAGAAAGTTGAAATTATAAACTAAATACATAAAAATTTTAACTAATCAATCACATGATCTTCTATAATTAAATATAAAAGAAAAGTTTTTTATTTCTTCTTTTTATAATAATCAACCTTCTACATATATACATTTGAACCTATATAGTATCAACCTCAAAATCATTATGAACTCTGTTTTACTTATAAGTAATATATTACAATATAATCTAATTCAGTTTTCTCTTTCAATTCCCTTCTTACAGTATACTATCGGGATATATATATCTCGACCTATCACTTTTACAATATATTGATTAATTCAAATAATATAATTATATATTTCTATAAACCTGATAATAAAATAAAAATTGTTTTTTATTTATAATTCTTTTTTATTTATATCAAATTGAAAATGTTTTTTTGATTTAATTTTGTATAGATTATAATTTTATTCAATTTATTTCTAAGTTCTTAAACTTTTGATATTAAATATATATCTTTGATTATTTTATTATTAATTTGATAATAATCTTTGTAAAACCAATTATTTGAATTGTCTTTCTTAAATACTAATAATACATTTAATATACAAAGAGATTTAGATTTCCTAATCTATTTTTTCTTTTCAGTTTTAATCCTGTATTCTTTTTATATCTATATAATATTAAAATTATATAATCTCAACTTCTCAACAAAAGATATAAATCCTTTTTTAAAATTGATTTTAAAATCCTAAGGTTTATATTCTGATAAAACTTTTAAATCTTGAGGATCCTCGAAAAGTTTAATGAATTTTTTGTATTATATTGGAATTTCTTTTTCATCGATTTTATCGATCAATAAAGGATCTATTGTTGTTATAATATAATATCCGATCTTCTTGGAAATCTATTCCTTTGGACTATATAATCATTTGTTATTATAATTGTAATAATCGAATATTAAGATATTTCTTATCCAATCGATATTTGGATTATATCTTTTAATCTATAGGATATTAAAGATAATTGTATATCTATTTAATAATATTAAATTCATTTTAATTCGTTTAGTATATTTATTTAATATAATCATTTTGATAATATTGATTTTTTTATATATTCAATTATCAATTCCAGTTTTCTTTTCTTCTAATAATATCAATTAATAAAAATCCTGTTTTAATTTTGTAGGAATTCTATTTTCTTTAATGAAGTTAAGATTTATGAATATACTTATAACTTCAAAATTAATCAAAGTATTAGTTTATTGATTCTTTAATTTGATTTCTATAATTAGCTATCCAATTTCTATAATACTATTGAATTTTAATAATAATATCTTAATGATTTGTTTTTCGATAAAGAGATTTAGTTATTTATATTGATATTTGTTTATATTCAATAATCGATAAGATATAATAAATAATAATTTTATTGATTCTATTTGAAAGTTTTGATAATAATCTTGATTTGATATTTCTTTGTTATTTTTATCGATCTTTTGTTAAATATAATAAATCCCGATTTGTAATAGGATTTCCTATATTTCTTCAATTTCTAAATTATATTCATTGTATTTTCATACTTCATTGGAAAATAAAGAATCTATATCTGCAATATATCTTTTAATATTATTTGTTTTAATATTTTCCTTAAATATTATATAATAAATATTATTGTATATTATTATATAAAATACTAACAAGATAGGATAATTATAGATTCTATATTTCTCAATGAAATTAGGTTTCTTCTTCTTATAGTGATATTATATTCGTTTTTTATTTAAATAATTGATTAAATATTATAATTCATTTTCTTGAGATAAATAATGAGATTCAATTGTTTGTTGATCATTTTTGAATTCCTCGATTGATTCCTTGTTTTTTAATTCGAGATCTTTTGAAGATTTTCCTTTGTAATTGATACTATTTTTAATATTAGTTTTAGGATTTTAATTATTGATATTTAATTCCTTTAATTGTTTAAAGTTAAATTAAAATAGATCTTTTTCTAATAATCCTATTTCCCTTGAATTTCCTTCTAAGATTTCTGTTTTTCAAGAATCTTGTTTTTTGTTCTCAAATTTTATTTATTTTCTACTTCTTATAATAAATAGTTTCTTTTTTTGAAAACAATTTCAGAATATATATCTACTTTTCTTATAAATATAATATAAATTATTCTTTTTATACTTTTTCTTTTTATTAGCATTTAGATTACTTAATTTTATATAATATCATTTGATATTATTTAATTTTATTAGATTATCAGTATTATAATATTTGTTCTGATAATAAGATCTTTAGAATTTCTTACTTTTCTAGATAATTCCTTTCTTCTCTATTCATCGTTTATAAAATCAATTATCAATGAAAATAAAGGTTTCAATTAATTCAAAAAGATTAAATAGTTTCAGAATTCTTGTTAATTTATTCTTGATAATATCTTTCAATCCTTTATAAAACTATAATTTTAGATAATCATTATTCTATATAATATACTCAATATATTATTGAAATTTGATAATATAAATTATAACTGATCCGATTTGCTTGAATTATTGTAATACTTTTTCAATTATATAATCAAGGTTTACTTTTTTGAATACTCTATCAAATCCTTATTTGAACGATTTATAATTGAGGAAAAAACAATGAATCTCAGATTTTATACTTTTATTTAGTTAATTATCAATAATCTTAGTTATTAAATCATTAAAAAATAATTCAATTTAATTGAATATAATTCCTCAGAAAAAGAAGATCAATTATAAGATCCTTTATATAAAAATCAAGAAAAGTTATTTGTTAAAAGTATAATAAAGATCAGTTTGTATAACAAAAGCTTGATATTTGTTATAATCTTTATGAAATAAATTAAAAGTGGATATCTGAATCGTTTATTTATATTCTATAATAATGATGGTCTAAATAAGGGCTTCGATTAGATTGAATAAAGATGATTCGATAAACTATTGATTGGAAACTATTATACTATATATAACTTAATTATAACAATACTCAAAGTATAACAATTTGATAAAGACAGTAACTATCTTAGGTTTCATATAATTGATAATTGTAAATTAAAACTAATAATTACTAATTATCCATTCGAAGATAAATATATTATTAGATCAATTAGAATATAAATAAACTAATTGATAATTAAATTGAATACGAAGTTTCTAAATTATAAAACTATTCTAATTATATATTAATCTCTTTTTTTATACTAGTTATACTAGTTGGCTAGTATAGTTAGTATTCTTGTAATACTAGCTTTGTTAGTTGGCTAACAGAGCTAGTATATTATATAAATGATCCTAAGGCCTCTTATATTCAAGACTTTTCCTTTTCTAGAACATTTATCCCAAAAGCTTTCTCTTTAGGAACTATAATTCTAGAATATAATATCCTTTAGAATGATAATCCTATTACAATTAATTAGGTAGAACACTTGTCCTATTCTACTAAAATTATTTAGAATACTTATCCTAGGAATCCTGGGGTTCTAAGCTTAGGTAATCAGGACTCCTGAAAGCAATAGTTAAATCATATCCCCCCTGTAGTCAGCATATAAATCATCGACGTCAATAATACTACTATAATGAAAACCATGAATCGTGACATTTATATACAAATTCGAAAATATTAAAAATCTTGAATAACTTTTTAACAAAAAATGCTAAAAATAATCTATAAATTGATTTGGAATTTTAAGATTAAATATTATATAATAGATCATTGTTCCAAATTTTAAACAATATAAATGAATCTTTATTGATATTTTTAGATTTTGCAAAGATTAAAAATTATAATATTTTGATTAAAAGGATTTTTGTTAGATTTTTTTTAAAATAAGTTGATCTATTTGATCATTTATGATATAAATATTCGAAAAAAAAATTTATAATTTATTTTTAATTATTTTTGTTGAAAAGTTATTCAAGATTTTAAAGATTGTGTAAATTTGTGTGTAAATCCTATACAAATCAAAAATCATAAAATTTAAGGTTATAAATCTCAATGAAATTAATTCGAAAAAGTCTAAAATTTTCAAAATTCAGTTATAATTATATAATGAATCTACGATTCAAGTTTCATCAAATTCTATTGATTTGTTGTAAAGTTATTAATAGGTGAAAATCACGATTTTTGGTGTAAAAAGCTGGTCTATATTAGGGGTGGTCCAAAAGTAGAGTACTAGACTTAATTGATTAATTAAAAACCTCTTTACATATGGCTTATAATTCCAACTTTCTCACAATATCTCCACTATGATGAAGCATTTGTACTCACAGTGTGTTACTCAAGCGTATTTGATAAAGTACTAGGAAATCTTTAGGGTATAAACACCCAATGTTTCCAGCTCCGGAAACCTGACCATTAGTAGGATCATAACGAAGATCAAAATAGATCCATCCGCCAACATCAATCTAACCATCCTTTACAATCAAGGCTTGATCGCGAAACTGGTCCAATACGATGAAAAAAAAGCGCGCATCCCTTTCTTCAGCCGACACTTCCTCATCCAGCTTATCTTACAATTTCGAAACAAAATCAAATGGATCAAATCGCAGGAAAGGTTTTGGCACTGGGCTCTAATAGGCATGTGGAGAGCAATGACTTGGTGTTAGACACTAGTAAGACACCATCAGTGAAAAGCACTAATTATTAAGTATTCAAGACAAAACAGAGATAAAATGATTTCTCTGTGTAAATATTGCATGTCAATGGATGTTTGTTGACATGCAGATTGTCCGGATAGTTCTATTCTAATCTATGTTTAGCGGACTCGAAGCAACAATAAACATGTACTCCTGTGGAGTTAAAGAGCGTCCCTATTCCAACCGGCATTTGAGGAGCTCTATTCAAAATATACTCTTGCAGTCGTATCCATAAAATCCCATATCTATGCATTACCTTCCCATCTCTCCCCTTTAAGCACTGAGCCCCTTACAATAAAAGGCCCAGAATGAACATTCTCCCAAGTATCCACTCTCCACAGCCCACATCTCCACAAATCCCTTTCCATCTTTTCAACGAAATCGCTTGGCATCCAAGCCCTTACAATGCTATGCTCTGCATCATATTCTATCGTAGTCCAAACGAATAATCCATTTTCCCTGAAATTCTCAATCTCAGCGGATTTATCTGCTTCATCTTTTTCGCCCGTAGGGACTCCCACGATTGAGAAGAGTAAAACTGGTATGCTCATTCCACATTTTCGCAGGGCTCCATAATCGTAAAAGAGAAGTGTAAGGTGCCCAAGCCGGATGGAAGGATCCCGTTTTCGGCTGATATTAGAAAGGTGGAATTTGTAGTTGAATATATTTTTCGCTTCTGGAATGGCAGCTGGAGAGGGTAGCAAGAAAGGGAGCAGAGGTTCGAATATTCTCGTAAGGGTTGCCATCTCTTGAACAAATGGCGTAGTGCAAAGGTGCCTTCTAGTATGCTCGCGCTTTTCTTTTTTGGCTGGGGTCTGAGACTGATGCGGCGTACTGACTTTAGTTTGGACTGTGTTTTCTAATATTCTAGATAAAACGTCAGCCATCCAATGACAGGGATAACCTATGATACGTAAATGAGCTATAATACGGAATATAATTGTGAGGGTAAGAGGCGACGAAATAGGTCTAGCCTCCGCCGTCATCTTCAATGGGAATGGTATAGCGAGACGGAAGAACAAAGCATAGAGCCATCTCTTGAAGGGCTTTCGAGGGAGTAACTGCTCGAAACCTCGGAAGAGAGACTGTGAAATTCCATAGCGTATATAGTTCCCCGTAGGCCATGGCCCCTCAGCACGCGATAGAACCGTCACAGAGGTAAGTTGTTCGGCCATTTTGGTGTCGGCAACGATGTGATATTCAGCAAGGAATTTTTCAATATCAACTGTGTCCGGTACATTCCGTAGAAGGTTTGATTGAACGAAACTGGAGGATAGCGGTTTCAAAAGTGGTGAAGCATGAAGATATGAAGAAAGGTGCCCGCCTATGTAATCACTGCAAAAGTCAGTTTTAAATAGCAGTAATCGAGATTAATGCCAAATCAAAAAAATTCGACATTTTTCGTGGCTAGAATTATGACTCAATACGCCCTAGTTGCTCAGAAGATTGAGTAATGAATGCCCTTCATATACTGCCGGTGTGAAGTCAAAGCATTTTAAAAAATTTCAAATGAGAAGACAGGATACTTACGCAACATTACCCAAATATATTCGGTCATACAGTACTGGGAAGTTTTTGCAACGGATTTCGTCCGTTGCTGCGGCCTCAGATGATTGTAAACTGTTGTTGTCGCGGTACAGACCGAATCTCAGTTTCTCCGCGACCTCAACAAAATCTTCGCAAATTGCTTCGACCTGGAGACGACCTCTGAGATATTTGATGGAGTCGGCGGCTTCTGAAAAAAATGGAGCAATGTAATCATACAAAGTGGCTGGAGCCTTCATTTTTGTAGGTAAAGTTTTGGATACAGAGGCGAAATTGTCTAGTTCAAGAAAAGGATCATTGGCAAAATCAAAGTCATGTTTGTCCTCGAGGAAATCATACCAATCAAGATCCATGCGGGTTGTGTTGAAGTTCCATTTATTGCGCACATGCTCTCTAAACTTTGAGGCTTTCTTTTCCGGATTTTTAATATGAGCTTGAAGTAGTGGCAGTATCTCACGGTCGTGGTTTTGAGAAACTGTTTTGGGAGGTATGAGAATAGCTGTAGACTTGTAGAGCTTATTCTCCTTTTTAAAAGGAGCAGGCACATCTTTATCACGCCGCAATGCGGAAGGCAATAGCATTTGGTCTCGGCGTAGTTGGCGAGTTACTTCATCTACTGCGGTGGGAGCGCTGATAGTAGTGGAAGCCCTGCCTTTCCAACTTTCCAAGGTTTGGATGTAAAAGAGAAAATCCTTCCTAGGAAGGTAAATCCAGCTCAAAGGTTGCATATCAGACTGCAGGGCGGAGAGGGCACGGTCGATGGTGCGATACAAGTGATTATAGGCAATGCGGGGCATAATGAATGCGACGAAGACAAAAAACAATGTAGTCAAGACTTCTTCAGCTTCTTTAGATTTCGTTTCAAGGCCAGAAAGTTCTTCCAGTAGCATGAAAATGATCAGGTCTCTTGTAAGAGTGTTTCGGCTGACATCAACCATGGTGAGATGATATTGCTTTTGCTTTAAGCGGTGTTTCTTCTCGAGCTCAGCAATCCCAGCGATGGTTTGGAGTAAGTTACGTGCGTCACCAATATCCCCAAATAGAAAGGAGACACTATTAGACGTAGGCTCATTTTTACCAATGGTGAGATCGAACAATGAGGTGGGTTTCTCGTTGCCGACTGTGCAATATGCTCTCGTAGTGGCGCTGTGGAATAACGGGTCAGATAACTCAAAGAATTTAGAATGAACCTTACAATGTTGGCCGATAGCGAGGCAATCTTTCGAGAATCCGTAATCTGGTTTGCTGCTGCTTCAATCCAGATGATTCATATGAAAGTAACTCCGCATTTTTTATCCGCTGTTGGAGCTTCTCTACGAAAGTTGCATCCCCACTACCGTAAATCTGCAAAAGGTCGAGAGCTTTTCTAACCTCGATGCTGCATTGACCATAATCCCCGACCTCGAAGTACGCTGCCGATATATTGTCAAGTAATGCATAACTGGGCGGTTGAAGGTTGGCATATTCTTGATATTTTCTCAAAGCTATAAGATGAAGAGTCAAACACCATACTCTTTAAGCAAATGGAATAATGATATCATACCTGGAAGAAACTTCCCCGATAGATATAACTCGTTTGCCTCACGCCACAAGACACTCGCCCGCTCTCCATCGGATGTTGGGACAGATGTCATTTTGCTTGCAATTGCTGCTTCACCGCATACATAGGCGTTTAAGAAGTGTTTAAAATAAAGATCGATTCCTTTTGCCGGATTCTTTGGGTGGCCAAAAGTTGACTCTTAGTGCAAGAAAGAGCGTTAGATTTGACATTTTGGCGCAGGCCTCACATGGCTGGAAGTGTATTCTTAATACCTATATTGGATAGCAACTACCGTATAAACTTACCAGACACCATTTACACTAAACCCTTTGAAATAGGGTTATTTATAATTTTCTATTTCGGGGTGGTAAATTGAGTGAATTGGATTGAAAGTTTCTGCTTGTTACCAAACTCACCTTCCAATCATATAAACAAAACCTTATTCCATAACAGGGAAAGTGTTAATTGTGTCTGATGAGTTTATATAATACCGGTACAGATTTTGATCTTAGGAAAGCACGATAATCTCTGCTTTTTTTTGGTTGCTGGTTGGCAACAGATTAGCAGACTGATTAAGATTTCGATGTTTGAAAAGCTCTAGGCATTTGAGTATAATTTATTGTCCCAGATAAAGTAAAACTTTTTATTTAATCCAATATTGCAGATTGTTTTAATATTTAATGTTTTAATGTTTCAATTAGATCAAAGAATCCAAAGGCTTTCATTTTTGGAGCCCGAACTATCGGGATACCCTTGTTGGTTGTAGAAACGGGACTGGAACTGCAAAATATAATCACGAGCTAGAATCTGCCAAATGATATCAGAGATTCCCATGACTCCTTTTTTCGCATACTAGCTGGTGATCAAGAATTTCGACAGTAAGGACTGAAAACAATTTCGATCCCAAATGACGAGTATTGGGCTCAGCATCGTGGTATCCATATTGAAGGACGCTAAATCTAATACTGTTCAGACGCTCACACTAAACACAAATATGCAAGCACAGCCCTCTGCAACATTGCTCTCAATCTCCTTTATAAATTTATATAGAAAACCGACATTCCTACAAGCACGCATGAGCACTTGCAGAGTTAGTTGCACATGCAACATCCGCTCCAAGAGACTTCTGCCCATATATTTGAGGCGGACCTCATAAAAGCCACTGGGTCTCTGTGGGAAGCTCTACACCACGTGTGTGTCAACCACAATTACACCTGGATTAAACAGTTTTTGAACTCGAAAGGATATGGAGCGATTCCGAAGCCTGGTAAGATTTACTGCAGACGTACGGACATGACAAAATTGACCGGCGTTTACGGCATGTTTGTGATAAGAGTACCGTGGTGTGCTACTTCCTGTTCAGGTATATAATATATCTAATAGATAACGTGTCATCTACTGTCTCATCAATCTCTTGCTTTACATGACTTCTCTTGCCATGAGAATCGTCACCCAGTTGCAAGATGATACACAGCGACTCTTCTTATTAAAAGAAAGGAACAATACCTTCAAAACCACAAATGCTTTGACGCACTTCTCCAAATCAAGCCCATAGATTACGAATCGAGAAATGACAACTCGAATCACCACAAGCGGTAAATCTTCACGTCGTTAGTTTCTTCGCTAATTAAAAGTCATGTGGGGAATATGATTCACCCCTTTTCACAACCGACGGAAATAACAAATCGTAACGAAAACGGCAAATTCTATCAGCATCTTGGTATAGAGAAAACGCGTTGAACCACCCAAGCCATTGCCTTGTAGATCACCATATATGGCATTGCCGGAAAGTCATTATAAGATTTTGATCGTTCACTATCCAAGATTCCAGTTATATTGCGACATGCTTTGGATCTCGCGTGAGCACCAATCCTCCATTGAATAATAAAAATTTCAGAAGCAAATCAATGTGCATAGATTCGGCTGCTGAATACTTCTAAGAAGTGATATGATGTCACCAATGCCCGCGAACGTTTCAGGGCTGTTAGAACAGAATACACTATCGACTGCATCGGAGATACCAAAATTGATCATCAAACGGATTCGTCAAAGCCTAAGAGTTTTTAAACAATAATCTTATTAGTTTCTTCTGCCACTAACATCACGAACCTCAATAAGACTGGTTAATCAGGTTTCAAAACAGGGTGGCACCTGAGCGAAGACAGATAGGCCACCAACCACATGACTTCATGTAGTACATCGAGTAATAATATATCATAAATTTTCTAAATGTATTGCGGATACCTAAGACGCTACTACCTTGGCTCCGACCAGTCTACCTGATCTGTAACTTGACCCGCAGTTTGATGTACATAAGAAATCTTTAATCTCAATCGTAATGGCGGCTAAAATAGTCAGCAAGCTAGCCTGTAAAATCTTCATATTAATAGAACTTACCCCTTTACTTCCTGTAATCCTCATTGATTGTGTTGCTTCAACCCCAGGACCCAAAGTCGAATTCGACATTGCGTTCAATTGAAGTTTTTGTGTTTTAGGTACTGCAGCTTGTAGTGCCACCGTAGACAAAGATTGTTGCACGGAGGAGTTTCTGAATCGAGCCAAAACTTGTACAACACCTTCCGCATTTCGTTGAAGTTGTAAGATAATGTTGAGGTCATTTTTGTCGTAACATGGATGTGTTGGGATTGAAGGCGCTTGAGGTGGAGGTGAAGATACACCAGAGAAGAGATCATTTGAGGGAGTTGCCACAGCAGAAGGCGGTTGTTGAGCTGGTGTGCTGTCAAATAAGTCCATGATTGAACTCATGTTTGACTGTTGAGCTGGAGGTGATGAGGGCTGAGATGAACCAGTACCTCCAAGGATGTCTGCTAGAAGGTCTGCATTATTTTGAGATCCACCATTAGCACCACCAACATTCGCGTCAGGCATTCCTCCATCGCCCATTAGATCAAACAACAAATCCTGTTCTGCCGGTTTGACCGTCTTCGACTTTCTGTTTGATGCTTTACTCGGTTTCTTGCTTGCCTCTCCCAGTACTCGTGATTCTTCCTTGATTTGTGGTGGAGGCATTTTCTCCAAAACACCTTTTCTGATAGAGTCATAACTAAACAAGTTGCCATATTCCACCGCTCGCTGTTGAACCTCGACATCAAGGTTTGTTGCATTATTTGCTAAAATTCGTCGAATTCGATCAATTTGTGCAGGGTCGGATAAACGTGTACTAAGCTTCATCAAAGATGTGACGATATATTCCGTCGCGATCTGGGTTGCATAACTGCTGTTAAGAATGGTCGAGAACAAATCCACAACTTCATTCTCCTTGACTTCTTGCACAAGTTCCTCTTCCTCGTATTGTCCACCACGTAATAAAGTCTCTCCATATTCACCAATGCACCATGCACCGGCCAAAGTAAGACCTTCTTGAGTAATGTCCTTTTTCAAGCTAGTATAAAGCTTCTGTACCGCATAGGTTTGCAATTCAGGGGTGGTCGCAATTAGTCGAATAAATGAGGACAAAATTTGCTCTTTGACGTAATTTCCCGCCAAGGTCAAAACTCTCAGCATTGTATCCACATGCCATCTTTTATTTGGTGAAAATCTGTCTGCGGCGATACCGATTTGACTGGTCATGATTGGTTTAAACTCATTATCGGCAACTTCCAAGAAAGCAAGAAGCTCCCTAATGAGTACCCTAACATTACTCTCATTAATGAGAGTGAAACTTAAATCCAATGCACGCCGCCTGATACTAATATCAGGATCTCGCAGACATTCAAGTATAGTATTTCTATGTCTTTGGACTGCATTTGGCTCAATAGCGACTACCTTGATAAGTGTATTCAAAGCGACATATCGAATATTGTTGTCCCGATTTGAAAGAAACTTTCCGAGGATATTGACACCGAGTACTCTTAAACCGGAATCGGCTTCGATGTCAAGAATAGTCAGGACAGCCTCGTATAAAATAGAGTTTCCAACATTCTTAGAGGAGTCCGTGTTCGTAGCAACTTGGGCCAAAATGTCGTTAATTTGTTCACTGGTCTCTGGATCTCCCCTGCCAAGAACTCTCAATAATTGTAATATCTTGACTTGTAAGAATGGATCCGTAACTCCAGTAACATCATGCTCAGGGGCATAACCTGAACTAGCCAAGCCCTTCAGTGTTCTGACTAAACCTCCGCTAAATGGCCTGAATTTCTCCACGATTCCTTCCTCTCCACCTTCGGCTTCGTCCATTTCACAAAGATTTGTTACCAATGTGAGACCGCACAGCAAAACACCATGGTTTCGATCCGAAAGAAGGTTTGCCGCCTTTTCGAGGAAATGTTCTTGCAAATCTGGTACTTTCTTACATATCCTCATGGCACATAATGCGGCCTTGCGACGAATATATGGGTTCGCGGTGGAGAGAAGGGTTTCGATTTCGGGGAATAAATCTCGAGACATTTCGACCGATGCAATGTTGCCTAGGGTACACAGAGCCAGACCAACGATATATTGATTAGAATGATTGAGATCGCTATAATCGAATCAGCATCACGCTTCCTTTGAATATAAAAATTGCGCATACTTCTTCAAAGAGTTGGTAACCAATGTCAATACCTCCTGATTCTCGTCCAGCAGAAGCATTGTGCCTAAATATCCTAATCTCTTATCTGCGAACCTTGGAGAAGCCAGAAGCTTGAGACATTCTATTTGACCAAAATGTGTTCTCTCACCCAAGGTGAATAGGTATAATAGCTTTGCTACATTGTTTCGTCTATCAATCCAATATGTCAGATATATCCAAAACAACAAGCGGTGACCTTCCTACCTAACATTATGATCACCACTCTCTTCACGAAAACTGGCTCTTATAGCAGCACTTTCCTTTTGTACAACTGCGCGCTCATCTGCGATTGTTTTCGAAGCTCGCACATTGCGAATGAATTGCTTCACTATATAATATGAGCTTGGGAAATCGAGGGGTCTTGGAGATCTTTGTTTACTACTTACATGAACTCATTCTGACACTGTTCAAGGCCCACAATGGGGCAAAGTTCTAAAACTTTCCAGCTTGAGAAATATCAAAATTTTGTGTCAAAAAGGAGATGAGATAATGTGAATTAATTGTTGGATTGTTTCTGAGGTGCCCAATTGGTGATGCAAAGGCCACCATATTCGCTTGATGTTCTGATGTCTTTCAGATGCGCCTTCAAGTTTGATCTAGTCCATATCTGTGCTAGTAGAAAGTGGCGCTCGAGGCTACGATTAAGCCTACTGTGGCTATGACCCGTAATTTATATGCGGGTAAGGCGAACAAGTGGGAATACGAAGTACGAACCATAGCCTCGACTACATCCACCATATGGAATAAGCAATAATTAATCTAGTCGGAATCATTTTTATAATAATAAGGTTTGTATATGAGGAAACACAAGGTACATTTTGATTTTAATTAATTTCCTTTATGAAATGTTATATTTTTAAATGAATCAGTAAATGTTCGACAACTTTTCTATATATTTATTTGTACCAAAAGGGGCATTCATAAGAAGCTTCATTACCCCAGATTGTTCTGTTGTGAACTTGCGACAAGCTTCACTCAAGCTTCAAACCCATTTCGAAATGTCTACTTCTGCAGATATCTATACCAATGGGAATAGTCATGATCAAATTCTACGTCCTAGACCACAAAATGTCCATAATCCAACTATTATTCGAAAAATAAGTGAAGAGGGGTTATTACCAGTCAATGGTATCAAAGATGTCTCCGAAGATGGTATTTCTACTGGTCCAACCAGGTAAATCTATCAATCTGAACTCATTGCTCTATCTAACATTGAATAGTGGACGTACAACACCCATTCCTGAAGATGCGCCTCCTTCCGTTCAATCGATGTTCTCTGCGAAGAGACAAATTAAAGCAGAGCAGAAACGTCGTATTTTCCCAATAATCGAATATACCTCACGAGTCTCGCATTTAGATCCACATAGCGACCATCATGATTTCACAGGATTTTATATTTTATTCTGGATTGGTCTTGCCATTATGGCTATCACAACCATGTTACGAAATATCAAAGATACAGGATATCCTATGAGAGTGGAGATTTGGCAGTTATTCACAGTAAAGGTCTGGGAGCTTGCAGTCGCAGATGCCCTTATGGTTGCATCTACATCTATTAGTCTCCCTCTTCATAATTTTTTCAGAAGTAAGACGGCGAAAGCATTAGGATTTCAATGGACCAGAGGTGGAATGGTCATACAGAGTTCATATCAAATAATTTGGATGGCATTTTGGGTTTCGTAAGTGCCACTGCGTGCGAAAATGAAGCGAAACGCTGACGAGTAATGTAGTATACCATTCTATCGAGATTGGACATGGACGGCTCAAGTATTTCTTTTACTCCATACTATGGTTTTACTTATGAAAATGCATTCATATGCATTTTACAATGGTCATCTTAGTGAAACCGAACGACGATTACAAGAACTAGACTCTCCTGCGACTGCTTCAAAAGCTCCAGCATATCAATATCCAAGTCCAAGTCCAGGTCACAAACGAACAGCATCAGAGATCAGAGCTCTTACTCAAACCAAAGCTGACGAGATTGCAACTCTTCGAGGGGATTTAGCCATCGAATTGACGTCAACAATGGGTTCAGTCACCTATCCTAAAAATCTCACTTGGTACAATTATGCCGATTATATATTTTGTCCTACACTCTGCTATGAGCTCGAATATCCTCGTACGAATGGTATAGTCTGGTCGGAATTGGGTTATAAAACTCTTGCCACATTTGGAGTCATTTTCTTACTCACTATCACCTCGGAAGAATTCATCTATCCAGTTATGACAGCATCGGCAATTAAACTTCAAATTTCAACCTCGATTACTGAAAATGCACTTGTCATTGCTGAGTCAATCAGTTTGCTTTTGTTTCCATTTATGATAACTTTCCTTCTCGTATTTCTTGTAATATTTGAATTCGTCCTCGGTGCTTTTGCCGAGATAACATGTGCGTATATCCTTAAATAACCCATTAGTTCCCCCTCCCCTCACGCAAAATCTACTTGCATCTATCACACCTTTATTCACCTTCCTAAATTGCGCCAGACTAACAACATCTTCAATCAACAGGTTTTGCAGATCGACACTTCTACTCTGACTGGTGGAACAGCACCGATTGGATGCAATTCTCCCGCGAATGGAATATTCCCGTCCATCATTTCTTCCATCGTCACGTATATCTCGGCTCCCGCTCATACATTGGAAAAGGAGGAGCTACATTTATAACTTTCTTTATTAGTGCCATCGGTCACGAAATAGTCATGGCTTGTATCACCAAGAAAATTAGAGGTTACGGAATGGTGGCCCAGATGAGTCAACTTCCTATTATTTGGTTACAAAGTAGACCCTGGGCTAGAGGGAAGAAGGTGTTGAATAATGTGTGTTTTTGGTGCAGTATGATTTTGGGTTTAAGTGGCATGTGTAGTTTGTATGTTTTGTTGTGAGAAGGGTAGGAAGGTGAAGTGGACAGGATGGAGTATTTCACTTGTATCAAGGAAGGGAAGGAATAGGGTGTATTACATGGGGTCGGAGGTATAGTGGATGGCTGACAGAGCTTTTTATACTGCATAGATGGATACCAATTTCTTTTATTTCTTTTTACTCATTGCAAAGTTAGATACCACAATCTTCAACCGTTGTTCCTTTTTCATTCCTCATTCTTCTTTCTGTCCTTTTCTTTTGTTTATACTCCTAGATAATCCTTTCACTAGCAGGAAGTAATCTTACATACACCTTGCGATTGTAAGATATTACATTCATCCATACATGTACAAATATATATATATACAAATAACCGAGATCTCCTACATATATATTATCTACACAATGAATACCTACAGGTTTAGATCCTACTAAAAGACACCATAATCTTACTTTTGTCCTCTCTATTTCCCTCCACCACCACATACCATCCATCTCATCAAATCACCCTCATCCACCCTCCACCCTCCACCCTCCACCCTCCACCCTCCATCCTCCATCCTCCATCCTCCAGATTCCAAACTCCGTAGATAATGGTACCTCCTTCTCCCATTCAAAAAGAGCTAATAGATAGCGTATCTATACAGATTAACACAGAATCTATAGAATCAATCAATCTCTACCTAGGTAGCTAATAAATAATTATATACCTCATAACCCCTCATAACCGCTCCCCTCCCCGTCACCCCCATCCCCCATTCCACCAGCGCCATCTTATGCCCTACCATACATATCTTACCATACCATACCATACCATACCATACCATACCATACATAACATTAATCTAACCGAAGTCATTAATTAGCTACCTACTAACTACTGTACGTACCCCGATCAGATCAGATCAGATCAGATCAGATAATCCCCAATCTAAGATTTACCATCGATCCCGAGGTCTCTAGTCTCTATAGTTCTTTCATCCTATTTATTTTAATCTCTTTACTCGCGTCGTCTTACCTAGCTAGATAGGTATGTGATATTGAAAATTCTCATGGATCTTAAGGTACGGCTTGGTACTACTCGCTTTTCTAATTTCTCCTTTACTATATGAGTACGAGTATAACTTATCGCGCAAGCAACCTTACTTACGATCAACTTAAGAGGCATTTAAAACACATAAGATACAAAACACATTCATAATATCCCAAAATCACTTAAACAAGTCAATCATTGTAGAATTCCATTCATTCATTCAATCATGACTCATATCTATCATTCCAACCATCAATCAGCACCCAGGTACGTAAACCACTGGTCTGCATGTATCTTCAATTATATCCTTATTCCATCAACTCATCTCATCTCGTCTCATCACATCCCGTATCTCTTTCGTCTGCTCTTAAGAAGATCTTCCAGCCTCAAACTTCAACTCCTCTCATGTAAAAATCATCCATATACCATGCCAAACCAAATGATTTCCAGTTAATCATCCATGCTCTCGCGCAAACAAATGCCGCCAAAAAGAAACTCAAACATCTTATCTCTTTCCCCTATGTAAATCCATCAATTTCATCCTCTCTCCTCCCATCCTTTCCATTGTGAGACTGCATAGTAGCAATTTTATGTGCGTATCAATAACCAATCCAACCAATCCATCCACCCAAAGACCAAAGTACCATCCATTCATAAAACTACAACAACGATGAATAATTGACCCGACTCAATGCAATAGCAAATTTCAGACCCTTGCAGCGACTCAGAGAAGAAAGCCAATCGAAAAGTGAGAGATTAGAATTTTTTTTAATGTTTTTCTTATCTCTTTTTTGGCTATATATAGTGAAGAAAATTTTCTCCCATCGTCTCGACTCGCCTGCTACAATCTGTCTGATTTATTGCAAATTTCGTCGTGTTTGTCTTATCCCCGTAAGAAAAAAAGTAGGAAAAAAATATATCAGAAAAACGGTAAAAAAAAAGGAAAGAAAAGTGGGGAATCATAAAGTGATATACTGTGCTGTCGTTACTGTATAAAAAGGGGTATGGTTCAAAAAGTCGGTGTCGGTACAAGAAAGGTAATTTATGTAACAAATCGTAAAAGAGAAATATTTGGTGTGGAGCAGATGCTTAATAGACCGACTCACGACCACGAGCTGTGGGATAGGGCGGATAATCGCGATGATGCCCCGATTCGGTGTTTCTTTGATTAACATATTGTGTTCCGGTCGTAAAAGAAACTTTATCCGGTGTAATTTGAGGAGCAAAATTTATATTGAATTGTGGTGGATATACACTACGATTTGCACCCCTAGAAGGATCCCGAGATCTAGGTGGTTGAGCACTGAGAACTATGGGTTCAGCTGGCTCGGGTGCTGATGTCGGGTGATAGCTTCGTGATTGCGATCGCACTTGACGAGAAGAACTTCCAGCATTTCGTGTTAAAGGAGGACGAGTTGTTCGACGGGGCGACGGACTTCGATTTCGCTTCATGTAAGCATCATCGCGGAGATCCGGTCGAAACGAAGAATTCTTGAGTTCACTTCGCCCGTTGCTACCGATGACGTAAGTTTTGGTAGTACCAGTAGGTTCAGGAGCTTCACGTCGAGGCTGTCTAACATGAGAATATTGTGGTGTGGGTGACGGAGACTCTGAATCAGACCCGGAATCAGTGTCCGAATCTGGTTCCTGAACCATTCGGCTGGGTCCACGACCCCTATCTCTATGGTCTTCCTTTGTACCCATCCCTTGTGTAAATGTAGCTGCTCTAGTAAATAAAGGTGGTGGAGGTGGTTCTCGAGGATAGTCCGTTTTCGATCGACTAGGTTCTCGTCTGCCCGAAGCAACTCCAACTATCGGTGGTTCCGAATATTGTTTGTGAAGAGTTGGTTTTGTGGGTGAAGTCGACCCGGTATTGACAAATGGGGACTCCCTAGCTGATCTTCTAGTTGGCTTTGGCGTATCCTTACTTTTCGAAGGAGTCTCTACAGGACGTCGCAATGGCCGTGCTGCTGAAGACCTCCGCGGTAACTCGTCATCACTATGGTTATCGTAGGCAGGAGGGCGCACCTCAAATCGGATATTGTATGGTCCAGATGATGGTGCTGCAAAGGTATCTGCACGGCGCATCGAAGGCATCGCCGGTGGTGCTGGTGGCACCTCTGGTTTGATATCCGACTCTCTACGCGAAGCTTGCACATAACGTGCTGCATTTACCATATGATCTTTCCATTTATCTCCCATCGGCGAGTCTTTCACAGCAGCCGGTTCTCGCTCCCTTTCCCTGTCGCGTAATTCTCGATCTCTTTCACGGAGCTCCCATTCTCGCTGTTCCCGGTCTTCTCGAGCCTCTCGCTCTTTTTGAGCCCGAGCAGCAGCTTCGGCTCTTATTGCGTCCTCCCTTCGTGCTCGTTCGGCTTTTCGTCGATAGTCATCCTCACTGGACTCATCCTCTACATATGTTCCTGGACGTACTTTATCCTCTGTGCCACGTCTCTTTTCTTTATCGCGAGACTTCTTTCGATCCCCATGATCACGTTTTGTTTCCTTCTCCATCTTCCGTCTTAATTTCTCCCTGTCATCTTCATCCTGCTGCCTTCGTCGATCTCTCTCATCTCTATCCGAATCTCTAGATGTTGTTTTTGACCTCCTGACAGATGGTCTCGCAGGTTCATCATACAAATCCTCATAGGATCTTGGTGGGGGTTTTGAATATACATTCGACTCCTTCGGTGTTTTTTGCGTGGTCTTTGGATACGACGAACTGTAAGCCGGCGTTCTAGGTTCTGCAGTCCTGACATTGTACTCATAAGCTTTGCTACTACTCGAAGCCGGAGTCGGGGTCGAAGTCGAAGCTGAAGCCGAAGTCTTGTTCAACTCCTCCTTCAACTTCTGTAGCTTGACTGTTTGGTCATACTCTGATCTTCTCGATACATCACTAAGTATTTCGTATGCTTCTTGGACCTTTTGGAACTCATCAACCTTTATTGCCTTTAATTTAGGATCCTGAACCTTGTCCGGATGACACTGGAGAACAAGTTTTCGATGTGCTAATCGAATTTGAGGTAATGTCGCATCTTTTTCAACACCGAGAATTTTGTATGGATCTGGAGGTAGTTGTGAACCCATGGTGAGAAGGGAAATGAGGGTACTAGGCTCGAGTAATGAGGGCAGGAATTGTGTGATGTGTTGCTCGTAAAATTGCAAACTTTCGTAACAAATCTATTGCATTGTCGTCGTTCAGCAAACGAAGAATCGGGTAGAAATGGGTTCTCAATGTCGATGTCGATGCCGTTATTAATCTGCTGCGAAGATTGAAGATGAAAATCTATTGATTGCAATGGCGAAGGTTGTAAAGCTGATATAATATTAAAGAATGTTGTCAAAAAGGAAGACTGTTTGAAATGATTCAAAGTTAAAAGAGTTGATGAAAGGATTTACTATTCAAATATCGATAGAATAATGAGTCAATGTGAAGAGTCTGAAGGTGGTTTAATAAGAGAAGGATAATTGAAGAGGAAGGTTGAGATATTTAGGGATGAATATCTTGGGTCCGATCTTCTCCAATCCTTGAAAATCTCCCAAGGTCCAGGTCCAGGGCGGGCTTGGATAGAGAATGAGGTCACGGACTCTCCAGTTAATCCTAATCTACCCTATGAGATGAAAACGGGCTCCAACCAAGGGACCGAAATGCGAACCACGTAGGAATGCAAAGGTAAAGATTGAAAAAAAAATCCAGAGAAGAGGCTAGAATTGATTGGCGATTGATTGAAGATACCAAGACGATGTTAAAACCAAATTGGTGATGTCTTGACTCAGCATGCCGCAGCAAAAGCAAAATCAACGGGAGGACGGAAACCTGCTAAAATCCCGTGAAACCAGCGAAAAGTCTTCCGTAAGCTTGTGGCGATTTGTAACCTTCTTCAAGATTTGTTCTATATTAAAAAGAACTGGAGAAATGGAAAGGAATAGGAGAATGATGGGTACAATTTTGCCTTTGGGATCGGTGTATACAGAGAATGGCTCCGCCCGGTCGTCGTAAGAGGGGAATAGCGAAGGAGGAGAAGGAGGCGGACAGATGAAGTTTCCAATTTCCAGGTAAGAGAGAGAATACTCGTAGCGATATTTTCGTGCTGGGATTGTATTGGAGATTGTAATGATGGTGATTTGACTTGATATGATTTGATGTTAAGAATAATTGATTGGTATCAATGTTAACGTTTTGTCTTGTGCGAATACTCTATACACAAGGCAAAAAAGTAAACACACCAAAACGAAGGGACCAAAAAAGAGGAGAAAGGATTCCAATGGGTCCTCAATAAGGATATATGGGGAATGACGGTAAGGTGTAATATTGAGGATTTGAATAGATCCCCAAAGAATTCCTGGTGGATTGATCTGGCCCCCGCCTTATTATTACTGGGAAGTGAGAGATATGGTAAGAAGTAATGGTAATAATACTCCGCTTTCCTGGTTCAACTGGGCTCGAGGAGTAGATAGTGTAAGATCAAGCAACGAATGAACGTATCGTGTCCTTTGTATAATATTGGCTTGTAGGGTTCTGTATGGGTCGGAAAATCTTGACGTCTCTCTAGTAAATACTTAGTAGTATTATTCGTTTGTCAAGGTACCAGGCTCAGCAGAATGATATTGGCAGCAAATGTACGGAGTAGTAGTATCAAATAAGTATATAGGGCGATGTAATATTGGGGGAAGGCAACGAGGCGGTGAACTGTCGTCCTGACAATTACGATTCGCGAAGGAAATGGTCCAGTCGGGGCATCCACTCTCCGATTCTATTCACGAATGATAGAACGAGGTTTCTGTAGAAAAATGTGTTGGATAATTGATTGAAAAAATGCTTTAGGCTATTCCAAGTTATGATTGTCAGAATTTGAATGAGTTTTGATAGCCGTGGATGATTTATGATTAGACGACCTTGGAAAGGGAGGTATCCGGTTCGATGGTGAATAATGAATGAATAATAAATTTAACTTTGTTTGGGACACTGAAGCATTGAGTTGTTGTCCCAGAACTTCAAATCATAAAGGTCAACGTCAATAGGGGAATGAGGCAGGGCAGGGCAAAACAAGTCAACCTCGTGTTTCTTGGGCCTTGGTATGATAAAAGGTAAATATGACGGTGAATGATTTGGCTCAACTCGATCTGTTGGGGTGAGTGATATGATGGAGTGATGCAACTGAAAGAATCATAACCATACGATACAACGCTGCGTCCTGTATGATATGTATATGTGAGACTCTGGAAATAATAATGAGGTAAGCCTGGCCTAGGCTAGATATTAGGGCAAAGATAGCCTGGTCCCTTGCGATCGACTGGTAAAGAACAGGTTGAGTTGAGTAGAGCCTGACGTGAAGCTATCAGATTCTCCACAGCGGAAGAAATCGAGGACGTCTCAATAGCGGTGGTAGATCTAACAAACCAACACGCGCCACAATGATACCGACGATCGAATAGAAGCGGAGCCAAGTCGTTGAACGGGCAATAGATGCAGCACAGCTTGTTTGGATATCGTATGGTGGAAAGTAAAAAGTGGTTAGAATTTAGTATCAATCGATTCAGCTGAGTTGGTTGAGTTGGTTGAGTTGGTTGCGTTGGTTGAGCTGCGAAGTGAAAAGAAAAAACATCTGAGACTCATGGCCACCAGGTACCTTTTGATGGCAAAATGGATACAGTGTGGTATGTAACATTTCCACTTTATTGTGGCTCGAAGTCAAGCATCAATTCTATCACCAGCTTGGAGAATCAGTCCATTGCCGCATCCAGAGTCACTCATCCAAAAACAAGTAAATAAACAAATGATGGGAACTCCGGATGGAGGTGGACGTGATCGAAAGACCTTTCAATCCATTGGTGATGGATGGGCCAGTAAAAAGCTTCAAGCTAAGTTCCATCAAGAACTTAGAGTGCATGAGACCACGGCGTTCTGCTGCACACTTGAGTAACTTGAATGTCACTAGTGAAGAGGTTTGTCCACATTCATCAAAGTTAAACTATGGAGAATCGAGGTAGAAATTCAATCATCATCTTCTTCGTCACAATAATAAATTCTTTTACCGCCAATACAACTGTGATTATAGTTGGAGTAGCCGCAAAAGAACATTTCCGTAGTTGAAGGAGGGGTATAGCTAACGTCAGATATACCGGATAAACCAGGAACGAAAGTTACTTTCGTCACACCCCTTTCATCATTTTTGTCTCCTCTTTTCCTAATCCCCTGAATGGATGAATAGAATCAACATGGAACCTCGCCTGCATCAAGGCCCAACTTTTTCCATTATCTGTGACTCCGGCATATCAAACCTATCAATTTTATACGTTCTATCTTCTGTCCTCATGTTTTGCTAGGTGAGGGAGGGAGGGAGGGGATGGTCAGGCGTTTCTACAATCTAGAGGTGTTCCTGAAGCGAGACGTCGGATTATAAATTTTATGTCGTGTAACTAGAACTACCTACCTACTCTAGTATGTATGTATGTAGTATTATCATGCAAATCACCATGCAAAGATAAACCCCCATCTGCCCCATCCTGTACTCGAAGCACGGATACACAAATCATCTCTCTTGTTCTTTGTACTTCTATCAATATAACACCCTCTTCTGGAATTTCGTGCATAATATAATAATACCTAGCTACATAGTACTTTAGTCTTTAGGTACGTCGAGCATCAGTCTGGCAGGTCTTAACGACAATCGATGGGGTTATTTTCCCTTTCTTTCCACGTTCCCTCACTTCCCTTGGTGAGGTCCCCACTGATTTGATCACTCGTACAGTGCAGTGCACCCACCCAAAGAAACAGAGAAATATCCGAAGCTTCACCTCGAAAAAGTTCAAAGCTAAACCGTCTTCGCTTTTTATCGGAAACCCTATCAGGATCTTCAAAGAATCCATTCCACTTTCAACACCATCAACAATATCTGTACCGCCTTTGGCGATGGATCTCCCGCACAGCAAAAGCACATACATCATGTACTAAAGCCAGGGCATTCGCGGGTTTACTGTCCCCAAAATGGGCCGCAGAACTCATGACCTCTTATTCAGGGACACTTGGGTTTACCTATCAAGCTATCAACTGCAAAAAGTCGCCATCATCCTAGTAGATATCTCTCTGTTGCAGTGTTGTGTTGCTGCTTACTGTATGATTTTTTGTGTGATTTTCTTGAAAACTCCGATGTTGCTCCTGCAGTAATGCGGACGCGAAGACTTCCTTGTCCTCTTATCGGCTGCCCCGCCATCCAATCTGAGCTGACCTTTCACAGCCTTCTGTTTCAGCCAAACCAGTATCATTCATTTTGACTTGCTTTGACTTGCTTTTACCTTTGACCCCTCAGTTCCAACAATTTCCAATGAATGTATTCCTGTGGACCCTCTATATTCATACTCCGTACCAAAAATATAATTCGATGAAAAGAGTTGCCTCTATCTTGGAGAGTATCTTTCAAACTCGACTCATCAACTTACCAAATACAGATGCCAAGTATGAGGCCCGTTAGGGTTGTTAAATTCAAACTGACTAAAGATCGTGAGGTGGAGAAGACGAGATCATCTGAACTCCTTCCTACAGCCTTGCTCCTGTTTACGAATGGGAAGTTCGGAAAAGATCCATTTGATAGCGAACATCCCGCGGCGGGAAAGAATTTTGACTAAAATTTAACCTAAGACCGTGGCGGGACCTCGGATAAGAGGGGAGAATGTTTATCACTTCCTCGACTGAGTTACAAAGTACAACGTACCAACCAATGCCATCAAAACAATCTATTGAATACATACGGAGTACTATAAAAAGACACCCTTCGCTATAGAATACTTTCGTCGAATCCTCGAATCCTCCACTTCAACATAATGCTAAACGATCTCGAGAGTTCGGCTTTTTGGTCTCCGTATCTAAATGTGATGATTTAGGTCAAACAATTCCTTTGGCACCACGTATCCAATAATTTACAGCGTTCAAGGCCTTTCACTAGACCACAACAATGCTTTAATGATTAATCAAGCGAAAACCCAGACATCTGGGGCCACTGTTGGGCCTGTATTTTCACATGTGTACAAGCTCCCATCCAGTACTTTTATTTACATACACTGTCATACAGCCACCATTACTTCATACCATACAGAGTACAGCACATCAAACTCAGCAAACTTGGATTCCAACAACAAACAACAGAATCCCCATTACTAAACCCACCTTGCTATCCACTCTATCATCATCATGATATTCCACCAATTCTCTCTGATTATTCTTCAACCACGAATACCTAAATATGACGACTTTTGTACCGATAAGTGCATGAACTCGATCTTTTCTCTTGATCGGCACAAGCTGGACCGTTCTAATAATCCATGGGGTCGTCGTTGATCCGGGGACTCTGTTTGTTTTCGATCACATCCACCTTCCCTTATCCTCTAGGCCTGGTGGACTCCACTTCCAAGTCAAAGGACTTTCTTTCAACTCTAGGATCCCAAGTATTCGACTGCGTCAAACGCGCAGAAAGACACAATCTACTTTCATAACATCCCACTTAGATATCCCCACCATATCCCTACCAAGACTTTCAAGAGCGTGTCACGAGTCTTTGAAAATTACCCCTCATGTTCATTCTGAAGATTCTTTTTGTTATTCCTGTGACTCAGTACCTGATCATCATCATTAGTATTGTTTTACTACAGGATCTCATGTACGTCATTTGCTTTCGATCGAGACAGCAAGTGTGTGATTGTCGATAGAGACGGGTGTTTCAATGTTGGGGGAAGCTGCCACTTCTTAGACTTACTCGGGCGTGAGCCAGCGGGCGTACAGGTTATTACCTCGTACCGAGCCACTAGCGGCCAGGTATGTAAACCAAGGATACAATTTTGCAGCGACTGGTACTCTACTATGCATTTTACATTAATACCTCGATACCTTAAGTTTAGTATCCTACCACGCTCTTGCCAAAACTTTCCCTAAATGCAAATCGAAAAGGCTATAGAAGACAACCCCCGCCTACTGCTCATCTTCTGGAACATCCTGTACGCCCATAAAGCCTCCTAGAAGTAGCTGAAAGTCAGCCCTTACTTAACCTTGCTCAACGTTTTTTACCCCTCATATCACAAGCCGGACACAAAGCCGCGTCCTTCTGTGAGACAGCGCTTATATTTAGAAGTCTAAAACTCAGCCAGTAACAAACATCCCCACGTAACATCATAAAATCAATGTTAATACATCATCACTATATCACGAGACAATTTCTGGAATACCATTCTTATCTTAATCGTCTTTTCTCGTGTCTCCCTTTGTCTAGTTTCTATTTTGTTGTTTTCGCATTTTGATGTAAGGTTAAGGGATCTCTTGCCCTAATACGAACAATGCCACGATGTAAAATGTATAATGCAGTGTATCTTACATTCTCCGCGTTTGTGTTGTACAGCATCACGAACTATTTCTGCCTGCATGTACAACAAGGCATTGGTGTATCGGGTCTACCCCTCGACGCTCCAATCTAAGACATGAGTACCGTTATCAGGAGCCTCCATTTTTGTGGATCTCCAATGATATGAATTGTGGCATCCTGTGGACATAATCACTTACATTATCACAATTTCATCGGTGACATTCAACCTCGGCGCTTAGGCAGCCTGGTGTGAATGTGGCGTCGAAAACACAAGGCTGGCTGTTGTGATGATAGGTTGGGGAAGGCACAGTCTTCCGGATCACAACTTGGGGACATTTTGTTTTCTTGGTACCGATCTCTGCATATGTCTGGCGTGAGTTTGCTGGGAATAGTCTATCCGGTCGTGTTATAGTTTTCCGAGATGTCACTTAAGCCGCGTGGGATTAAATTGAATCTATTTTTGAAAAGTATCGTACTCAATTCAAGTGATTGGATTATCAAGCAAGCTTATTAACCATGATTATGTGTAATATTCGTGTTCAATAGATATTTCCGCGGGACTTTATTCCCCCGCGGCTTGCTCAAGCGCGCAGATTACAGTGGCATGATATATCATCAATAACTTCAAATTAATTTCTTTCCAACGGTTGTGAGTTGTTTATCCCATCACGAGAGTGAGATAGCTGAATGCTATAGCGTTACATTCATGCAAAAAAAGAGGCGCGGTTTCCGGCAATTAGGAATTTCGGAACCCCTTCATTCTAAACCCAACATATTCAGGCACATTCAGCAGTCAAGCTGAACGGGTCAGCTTACGCCGTGATATATAACATGATGGCGCTTATATTTATATGTACTAGTAGTGTAGTCAGGATAGCCACGCTGGAATTGGGGATGAGATAACAGTTGGTTTCTTCAAAGTCCCAGACTACCGGATCTATGTAGCATTCACTGAGGATTTGGCAAATTCGGGGATTTTTACATGTTTAGTATACTGTAGTCTCTTATAATGTTGCTTGCTTTATTATGTTCTGTTGAGTCATCGCTGCAAGATGAATTGCTGAGGATTGGTCGGTTCATCCTTTGGGGCGAGATTATACGGGTATCATTTACTTTACTTTGATTTAAGATAAAGATGATATTTTCGCCGCCTCATTGATGTAGTAGAAAACGAGAAGGAATTCGAAATGATATTGTACAATCGAATATGGCATTTGAAAGCGAGAGCGAGAGAGGAGCCATTTCTACTTGGAGACAAGAAGGAGCGAGTTCCATGATTCGAGAACTAAAGTCAATGTGCTGCTCGTTATACGACAAGGAGATTTTCACTCGAATGGAATGGCACGTATTGAACACCGCTCGAATTAATCTTACAACATCCAAGTGAGCCTACTATTAATATTCTGATTGCAAGATTTCCTTGGCTTTGTGTTGAACTCTTTGCCTTCTTACAAGCTTGCACTGTTGCTATGGATAAAATCCGTGATTATTGAACTCGAGTACATACAGGACTCTTGGAAGTTTGGGGCCGATTCTTCAGCATGCAAGGATCTCCTGAAAAAAATTATCGAAGGAGGAAGTACTCTACGTAGGAAAGTAGCAGGTATGCTAATTACTGCCAGTCTTGATGGATCTTCGAGAGATACTGGGACCTTCCTGAGATTCAGATCATATATATTGAAACAATAATAACATTAGAATAGCTGAGAGAAACCGTTTAACTGCCCTCATTTGCATTATGTCAGCTTGTCAAGGCAGTAGACCCAAGATATCATGAGGATCAGTTAGGTTGGTCAGAATATGCCCGTTATAATATCGTCTCGTGCCGACCTAAAACTACGGTACGCTACAAGCGAATTTCAACAACATGATCGTGGTTGAAAGTGGTATGGAAGAAGGCCTCTTTTCTGTATTATCCTTACCCCGATAGATATTTGTGGTTTACGGTTTCTACAACACCTATTTGGGTCCTAGATCTACAGATCATTGACTTTGGGATCTTACGGAATTACATGCTCTCGTGTAAGAAGAAGCATGACGAGAGTGTGGATTCGCGAGGGCAAGAGCTAGCGAAGTGCATCATTGCAACTTATCAGCGTTCATATCCGAAGTTTGAAAGGGCTAGAGAATACTGGGACAGCAACAGTCAACCATGTTCCCTAATCAATTTTCCACGGCAGAGGAATACTAACTTACACATAACTTGCCTGTCTTGATTGAAGATGCAATTACCGTCACAGCGAGTTCAACAAGCAACCGCGACTATTGGTATATACACCCTTGCGTGCTCACGACGGATCGTAGGATCGTCGCAATGGATTAGACGGGCTTGGACTTACCAAGCGGCCCATGTGTTCGCGGCGTCGCTTGATCTTTACAGAGGAACAAGGAATGAGCTGTCGTGAAATAGTGGATTATGAATGGGATCCTGCTACATTTTATATATTTCAAAATATACTGTTGGGAATATTTTCATGGTCAATTTTGGGCCACATATCCGGGTACTCCAAAAGGCAGATGCTCAGAAAATGCTCTCAGTGCACTACTGGAATTGTTCCGCTTCTACAGACAAGACAAAAACTCAGTGCACCCTTTTCGGGGTGTGCCTATAATTCCACCTATATTTAAGCGCCGTGAAGGCAATGTGAAGACTCACAAAACCTTTGAGCAAGGATTTGTGGTGTCTCTATGTTGGAAGCCAGACGCCCCGGCAGCATGACGTCCAGGCTTTCCAATTTGGTCTTGGACTAGATGGACATGTTCAGTATCTCCAGGATTCTTCGTCCCGTTCGGTACATTGAACTAGGTCCGTTTTAAGCTAGCAGTCAGTATCTCCATTATGCGGAACAATAATTCTTTCCCAAGCTTTCAACGTGCTTTTAACGAGTACATCAAGATAGATCATCTTGAAAGCCTCTCCTATCGTATTCGTATTAAGGGCTGGACAATTGATCCCATCCGAAAGCTCCTCTCAACGGTCCATCATCGTTTGCAGAATATGGTTTACTTACCTTGTATGCCTAGCCAGTATTAACCCAACAATTGCAAGTTGATGCGCAATTTGGCACCAAAGTTTTTCTCTCTAGAAAAATGGATCCGGAAGAAGAGTCTTTATGGCAAACACAACCTAGACAATTGTTTGGCATTATAGTGGAGGAATTTAAGGGTTTTGACGAATCTATGTTCGTTTTAGTGGTCGCCGAAGTCGGTGAGGGTGAGTTTAGCAGGTTGGTCATCTGGTTTTACAGGGCAGTGGGTTCTATGAAACAATGGAAGAGAGATCAATCTCCTCCGTTGAGCATGTGGAGATTGACATGGGAGATGATTTGCGAGGGGGAATAAAAAATCCCTTTAGGCACAAGCTCAGGCTGCAAAGAATGTGGTTGTCGAACAGAATAGCTCGAGGGATCATTGAAGAAACGCACACTCATCTCGGCAATACTGTGTTCATCAAGAGGCAGTTAGATGGCCCCTGTGCCTGCTGAACGTCGTCAGATTCATTCGGCGGCGATGCTGCATCGGGAGGAGTTACAACAAGGTCCAGTGGCTTCGGCGAGATTCATGCAGATCCCATTAAGGCAGAACTGCATCCGCGTTGGTATCTAAACCATACTGGCAAAATGTGTAAAGGATCAGCTGGAGAGAATTCCCACAGAGATGGAGATCTATGCAACTGTGATGCCGCGCTCCAGGAGCAATCATATCAAGGGTTAAGTGGCATTGGGAGATTCATGCACAGTGGTGGATGCCTTGTCCAGAAAGGTGTCATGCCTAAGTCTGCTGGCACTGATAGATCTATATAAGTCCTGGCTAGCCAGGATCGCATCAGAACAGAGCTCCAAGGACAAAAGGGTGAGAGGGATTCATGCAGAGCGGGGGGAAGAATCAGCTGGGGTGATGCCACCTCCGGAAAGGTTTCAAACCAAGGTCTAATAGCTCTGGGAAAGTCATGCAAGTCCTAGCAAGGCAGAATTGATTGCATTGGTTGGTAGAACCCAAACTGAACTGCCAAAAGGGGGCAAAAGATCAGCTGAGTGTAGGTCAAACTGAGACTATTGATCAGTCGGCAAGAGGGAGGCTCAAGGCAGATAGACCCAAGGGAATATGCCAGTGAGCAGCTTGTCTCGCCCCGAGCATGGTGTTAATCTGGCCAAACAGGAAGATATTCCAGAGGATGGTCTGAGTAGTGCTCAGCTCATGTTGTCACTTAGCATAAGGTAACTTGGGTTGTGCAAGGAGTTGCCCTGGTGAAAGGGGTCGATTGCCCAGCTCATACTTTTCTTTAGCATAATGTAGGTCTGTCTACAGGGACAGGATCTACGGGTGAAGAGGGGTGTAGTAGCGCTGAACTCCTACTAAGTGTAATATGAATCGAGCTATCGTGACAGGACTGTAAGGGACGGGTTTGCATGATTTGATTGTGAAGCAGTGGTGTAGGGAGAAGAGTAGCTACATCAGCTCAATGCTCCCCACATCATGCCGTAAGCCAATATATGCATGGAATGTGAGGTGAAGTTTGTTACTAGGACTTCATATGCCTCGCTCTACCGTGTAATGGAGTGCTGTTTAGGGAATCTATATTTAACGGTTTTAGAATCAAGTATCATATATCAACAAGTTAGACAATGCTTTTTGGGATGCATGGAAGGGGAGTGAAGTAACGAGGGTATTTTTGAAGTAGTTCCGGTCTGGGCTGTTCATGAAGCCTGAATAGAGACTGGACATGTTTGAACAAGAAAGAGAAGGAGGGTACTGGAAGGGAAGTATAGAGTATCTTGTGTCACAGGATAAAATTAGGATGTTTAATTGTATCAGATGCTTTCCCTGTGAGCCGGTTTCCAATCTTGGAGCTTGAGTTGGCTACGAATAGGAAGAGGAATACATGCTACCGCTATCTTGGGCAGTTCGAGAGTTACGTCACGTGGTCATGTCATATGACCCGCTCTCTATTATTCATTCCCTTATTCGGAATAACCCTCGGACCATAGGCTCACAATTAATAGAAAAACAAAAGAGAAGACGGAGATTTTTGGTGCATTTCCATGTTACTTTGCCGTGTGATTGCTATAGCCTCAGGCTCGTTATTTTTCAGTGGAGGGTTAACTTGGTGAACCATTAAATTGAACGCTAAGATAACAAACCTTAACCCCTCCAAAACACTTATCATCACACTTTATCTACGATTGCCCAAGTTCACCATGCAGCTGCGATCTGCACGGATCTGTAAGCCTCGCGCCTCTCTGCAACTGCAGTCGATTTCAAATCAAACAATCTCAGGTACGTTATACCACGATAGTTTATCGATGACTGCGAAGGTATTGACATTGAGTCTAGGACCGCGCAGACGAAGCTCCCGCCTGCAATCATGCAGCGTTCTGTATCAATACCTCACATCCTAGGGTCCCAAAGCCCTCTCGAGCAACAACCAACAGATCCTCAGCCTTCACAGCTTGCTAGAGCGACCTCACCAGTACCTTCAAGAACACAGTCTTAAGGTTGGTTGTTGTTGTTTTCAACAAGCAGTGTGCTAATACATATAAGATATACCAGAATATCCCTGTCCACCTCAAATTCACAGCCACCAGACTCGGAAACGGAGATCCGACAAATCTGTCGAGGCCAATGCTGAAAGACCTCTAAAACGTGCCCGTCTGACGGAGAAAAATTTGAAAGCGTTTGAAGAAATGGGAGGGCAACGAAGGAAATCTGCTGGGAAGAAGTCTACTGGACAAACGTGTTCAACAACCACAACCACCGACAAGGATTTCGGCACAGAACTGCAACAAAACAAAGTCGTTTTTACTAGCATCGACGCACAAGCTCCAGATGATGTCGCCGAAGCCAGAAAATTTCTTGACCGACTACGAGAGTCAGAGCCACCCGATAGATTGGATTACAAAGCATATCTTGTACACACTAAGGATTACGAGAATGAGCTTAGCGTAGAGATTTCCGCTTACCCACTCCTTGCAAAACAGACGAATGAGCGAGTGATTTCAGGCTATTTCCAAAGACCCAATCATGCTTGGTCGGCAGTTGACAATCATCTTACTACCGCATCAGTGATGCACAACCGGATATTGTTGAGTCTTACCGTAAGACTGACTACCCTCCAACTGCAGTTGAGGAACTTTCTAGATAACTTGCTCCTTCCTAATATAATGAGGCGATGCCTGCTTATGCTGTTGAATTCAAGAGTACCGCCGGCGACATGAAGCAAGCAAAATTGCAACGTGCATATGATGGAGCACTTATGACGGAGGGAGCACATGCTGTGCATACACATATTGGCAAGTCCGATGACAATTTCTACGGTAAAACGTAGGCTCTCACAGTCGAATTCAATGGTGAGACGCTTAACTTCTACGGCCATCACGCGGTACAGATCCCTGCATCGTCACATCCAGCAACTTATGAAGCATCTCGTAGTGGAGTCGACAGAAGTGCAGGGGCGGCCAATGACACCGCAGCTGCTGTCGAATATCATCAATATCTCCTCAATTGCGACAATTTTCGTGTTTCATTTGAAGCTTTCCAAACCGCATACAGGCATACTAGGAATGCTCAAGACATTGGTTGCAAGTGGGCAACTGAAAGGAAAGATGCATTGTGGGCATACACAAATGGAGAAAATACACAAACTTCGCCGGATGTCCCAACATCCGCGCAGCAACCGTCGAACGATCCCTGGTTTCAATCCCTTCAGGTACACCAAATCACTGCAACTGTGACGCCTATGACAACGGGGTTCCGATACCTGCGCAGCAACCGACCGATTCCTTGGCTCCCGTCTCTTCCGGACCACCAGAAGGCTACAACTTTAACGCCGACGACGACGACGTAGACCCAACTGGCCAATTACTTAGAGAATCCTGGACGGTTAATGGATACGCTTTGCCTGATGCTCAAATATACAATCCGATAACTCCATCGCAATCGTCGAAGGGTGTTTCGGTTCCACTTGAGTCACAACAGCTGCCGGTACCAAGCGTTACAGAGCCTGGGGAGAATGTTGACTTGAATGCGCATAGTCATAGGAAAACTAGGGCCCGAACACATCACGCTCTTGCTCTCGAAGAGCCAAGGAAGGTTGATAAAACTAAGCCGCGAAAGACTCGCACGAAGCATTAGGTCTCTTGACAGAGCGTATGAACATCGAACAATAAATGATCATTGGATTCTGGGGTGGTCTGTGAATTGACGCCGAATCTAGCGCGAAGCATTTTCTGCACAAGGCGTTGCTCAGCACATCTGTGGGCCGTGCACTCTGTTGCCTCAAACTGCATAACGCGGGCAGGCTAAGAATGATTGGACGCGAAGGAGTTCTCTCGGATTCATATGCTCGAGATAGAGATGGTCCTCGTCAAAATTAGGCAAGTTGGTAGCCTTGTCTCTGGGCAGTCGTTCCATCTGCTTTTGGAGTTGGTGGAGTTTTTTGAACTGGTGGGTCAGCTCTGACTGCTTCTTTAACTTGCGCTAAATAACCCGCTGGAAAACCGTGACACAGAAAGACTAGTCACCGGGGAAGGGAGACCGTGGCACTTTCAAACAGTACGGAAATAGGTGATATACCTGGTAAGCACGGGGGTATGCAGCAAGCACCCCTTGCTTTCCGTTGGGAAGTGCAAAGTTACATAGACTTGATTGTCAGTCGTTCCCGCGCTTGGGGCGATGTAAACTGGTTAGACTCGACGGTTGCAATTGGGCTCAGTATACTGTTCTGTTGGTTGGTGCCGCGTTTAGCCTTTATTGGCCAATTCCCAAGAGTATCATCCTAGCGAAAAATGCGGAGGCGGAAATGCGGCTCCGTTTTTGCTGAGCGTGCAATGCAAGCAGGTGCAAAATGTTTGTCAGCAGGGGTCAGAATTTTGCTCAGGTCCCCGTCAATAGAAGAATATCTTATCATAGCGGCGTACAGTACTACCACATAGAGCGGGTGAAACGAACCCTCATACCCCTGGGGTCGATATTATTCTTCTCCGATTGGCCCTTGCAGCGAATTATGCCGCAAATCATGACCCATTCCGCAAGAGCTAACGACGGCGCTTAGCAGCGCGACCAACCAAATTCCCAATCGATTGATTGGGTTTTGAGTAACGCTGGCCCAATTGGCGGGTGACGCGCGTGAGCCGTTCGAATCGACGATTCATCCCTGGTTTTACGATTTGCGGAAGTTTGATGCGGCTCTGTGTTCGATAGATCTGGTCTATACAGCTCCGATAAGTTTGATATCCACAAACAGCGGATCATTCGTCATGGTATTGCTGACTACGCGCGATGGCCACGGTGGATACATCTTCGCACGAGATGTGAGGATCTCTTTAGAAGACAAGCCGATGGCGTCGGCTAAAGTGATAGTCTGCCGGAACAACTTGTTATCAAGAAAGGAGAAGCGATTCTACAAAATGCGAGTATGGGCACAATTCATGAGGGGAGGATATATAAAGCGACAAATTGCTTGAGGCGGTAGGAATAGAGAAAAGACATTGAGGCAGGGCTGATTATGTTTCTAGGTCATAGTATGGGTTGGGCTGCTGATCAAGCAAGCACTAATCATTGTACATAAGAACCCTAAATACACGCCGATTAAAGATACTACGACAGGGCTGGCATTCTTTGCAACACCACTGGATGCTAGCCTGAGAGATGTAGTGAACAAGATTGCAGCGACTATAGGGTTTCAGAGGGGCGACGGTATATCGGAGACACTAAAGAAGGGAAGCATCCTTTCAGGCATTATACAAGAACACTGTTAATTATTGTTGAGACCCGGCGTTCCGAAGAGGATAAATTCTAATCCAGCCGTATTCCGGAACCAAGACTAGTTAATACCCTTCCCTGTCCGATGGAACATCACCGCATGACAACTTCCAACTTCGGCGTTGCATCACTCTAACGCTGCCCTTTAATTAAGGATTTCTAGAGTTGTTGGTTAAATGGTACCTATGTTATAGTGATTTCTTTTCCACACAAACTATTCGTCGAACCTAAATTCTTTAAAGTCATCCACGTCGTACTGATTGCACATATAACCTATGATGGGAAACACGCCGATCCTCTTGAAAGTATCTGGTCCCTCGGCCTTTTAGTCGAACTGTAAAGCTTCAACTGGTTGAAGGACTAACTCACACCCATTCTCTTCGTCCTCAGAGAAAGTCGACATCTGGCAAAAAATTTCTAGATACCAGATCTGCACTTCTAAGAGCCGTGGTCAATCGTCTAGTATCAACACAAATAGGTGGCATCCCTGCAGTTATTGTGCGATCTTCAGCTCCAGCGGGAGGCATGGTAAAAGAAACTCTATTATGCGACTAAGGGAGACTCTCTACAGATTACAGGTGTGGGCGACGCCGCCAACGTACTTTTCACTAAGAGGTGCTTAGGAATGGCTATCCCTTAAGCTGCCATGGTGGCCGTGTTTTCAAGACCCTGGCTAAATGAAACACTTGCGTATCCACTTTTTCATGTTGAACCAACTTACACTGGAGGCAAAACACCGGGTATATTTTTGGAAAGTGTCCACTTAGGTTCCTTGGGAACTTGTTTGGGCTCCTTGAGCATCGTCGTCAATACTTGACAAAAGTGATGTGAGAGAACAGAGGTCAGATCAAGTGTGCTTAGTGATTAGCGCCTGTGCAAGAGCAGCAAGCCTACTAACCCCGTACGGGACACAAGAATGGGAAAATTGATTCATGATACTCTAAAATCCAACCTTTAACACCTAACAACCAATACTCTATCCCGCAATCATCCCCTCACCAAACCCTCAACGTCTCCCAAACGACTTACTAGACTCCCCAACACTCTTCCCGCCACTACTCCCAGCAACCTCCCTCAACCCCCCCAGCGCCTCATAATGAAACTCCCTAAGATGCTTCTCCACATCCCTCAACATATCAATCCTCAACTCTCTACATCTCCTCGAAACCAAACAAACGTAATGAGTTTTCCCCCTGCGCTCTACATCCTCATGATCTATGGGGTATTTTTCCAGCGTATAATGTCTACCGGGTAGGATTTTAGAGCCGCTGTGCGTGCGTTGAGTGGCGGAGACACGTGTTTCGTGACTCTTTGGATGGCTTGTGCCAGTAGGTTCAAGGGGTCTGCTAGTGCTGCTACTGCTGGGTCCGCTGGGTCCGCTGCGGCCGCTTGATTGAACTTGTCTGTTAGTTTCTGAGTGATCATTATGGGGATTAGATAGCTTTAGTGCGGACATGGCTTTAACGTTGTCGGTGTTTGTATTTGATTCTGCTGGTGTTCTTTCGCTGCGTGAGGATCCGGCAGGTGTTTTTTCTTTGCGAGTGGGGTCGGCAGGTGTTCCTTGTATGTGGGAGCTAGTGGTAGATGTGCGAGAGCTTTTGGTACGAGGAGCATCGGCCTTTGCTCTTCCCTTGCGAGAGCTGGGTGTCTTTTCCGGCGTCTTCATATTTTTTACGCGTTCTGCAGTTTTCTTGAATTCTTTCGTATCGTCGGTATCGGAATCATAGCCATAACCTCTTGGAGTGCGAGCCAACGTAGCTTCGTATTTTCTCCTTGCTTCAAATTGTGCTTCAAGGGGATGATCATTATAGAGCGCTGCATCATTGAGATCTGGTTCTGAAGAAGAAGAATTAGACGGAGCTCGTGCTCTTTTTTCTGGTTGTCTCGGTCGAGAGTTCTTGATGTCGGAGCCAGCGGCTTTTTTGCTTGTTGGGTTTTGCATGTTGATATTTGTTGAAGTTTCGTTTGTTGTTGGAAGTAGAGGGTGAAAATATTCGAAGACTAGCAACTGAAACACGAGATGGTGAACTGGATAGAATTTATAATGAACTGTATAAATAATACAATGATGTTGGATAAACTGGGTAAGAAAGCTATTCTGATCTTCACTTGACGGGCGGTCCATTCATTCTTATACTCAAGCACGAATACTAGATCAATGATTCTTGTCAATAGGAGTCAAAATAACCGACCTTCTAACATGCTTTTCAATATTGAACTATTCACCAAAAGTAGACCAGCCTCTCTTGAACCATAAAGGGATCTTGATTCAGGGCAATTCCGTGCAGAAGGTATTGAGGGTCGACTTCTCAGCCAATTTCATACAGGGTCGGATTTATGGTGAAAGAGTCTTCAGCCTGTAAACCAGCAAGTATAACACCAAAATTTTACGGTCACCATCGTTGATGTCTGGTAATAAAACTACTTTATCAAAAATTTCTTATGAAACAATTTTCGACACGAAAAACAGCCGGTAATTGCATGGATATTCACGACCTTTACAACCCGACTATTATCTTCTCTTACCTCGAGAAATATAGCTCGATAAGTGAGAAAGGTCAGTTTCTATACCAGTAGCATTTCAAAGATTTTTATCAAATCTGGGGTGCGTAATTATTTCTGGCAAGCCATCTATTCGAGTCTACGTGAAAACAGGTAACCGTTGAGGATAAGAATTCGTGCATGAAAAATCATTAACGAACATAAGAAGAACAAGAAAACTAACCTACCCACTTGAGTTTGGTGAATGCATTATACATAAACATAGAAATAGAAAACTACCTCAATTTTAATTTAAGTAAACAACGCATGCGAATGAGCAAGATTGAATTATGTGTGAAACTGCACCAACCACGGAGCTGCCATATTGATAAAAAACCAAAGATCGATCCATTCACTTGTCTACCTAGTAATTGTAGTGTGCCTAGTGACCCAAATTCTATTATCGACCAGCGGATGGTCATCCAAATCTTCACCGTGGCCATGGTTTCGTCGTTCTCCACGCTGAATATGTACTGGCGAGAGTTTGTTCAGTTGAAATGGAGATTCATTCCCATTTCCATTGTTTGAGCGACTAGGTTGGTTTTTGAGACGCATGTGACCATTTGAGAGTTTGCTTGCTGGACCAGAGGTACAAGGAGCCGAGGAGAACCAATCGTTCATAGGTTTTGGAAGTTTGAAGCATGCTTTGAGTATAGGTCGGACTGCAAGATGGGGGATTAGTAATTGCCTACCAAGAAGAGTTCCTATTAGAAAGCGTAGGAGGATGAAGAGCTATAAGTTGTATTGAGAAATGAAAATATTCATAAATAAATATATAGATAATGTTTAGGGCGAAGAATAAAATCAAGAGAAACGAGAATTTAGTAGGCCGATTTATCATACATGTTGGGACGCAGGCTCCTAGAATAGAGCTTCCCTCTTCAATCATCAACCATTCATTCGCAGTGGAAAATCCAGAAACTGTATCAATTTCAGTGAGGCGCAAAAAGGAAAGAGCTTAGGTCACTTGCAGTGTTCCGCGTCATGAGGTTGATATGAGTATGCTATGCGTAAGATGCATGTCACGATAACGCTACATTCTAGTCAGTAGCAAATCCTTTGCGTTGATGGGAAGATGATCGACTTACAATCCACCAAATCAAAATACCAAGAATAGAAGTACCTTCTTTCGTATAGGTACATGAAGGTCTCTGATGACGAAAAAAGGTAGGGCAAGAATAACAACGTCCAGAAGTGCATTAGGTAGTTCAAAGCCAAGAACTATCTCTCCGTATGGAATGCAATGTGTGGTGGGCTGAATTCTAAGAGCTAAATCATATGCGGCTCTGATGGGTGTGCATCCAAAGCACGTCGTACACACAGTAATGATAAACCATATTATGCATAAACTCATTGTAGTATCTACATAGCGAATAATATATGAGGTTGTCTTGAATAGAGAGCGGTACATGCATAAATTGAGATCTTAAGAGCTGTGATGACGAAGGGACAGTGGATGCTACCAATCCATAAGATCTGTAGAAGTATCAGCTCAGCATCACTAAACAAAATAAATCAAATATAGAACCCTACCTCGAGCATTTTAAGTCGATTAGCTGGATCCTTGACTAGATATGGCTCCAGGGTACCTGATATCTTCGTGATATCTATTTGACACATTAGTATATGCTATTTGCAGTTGGTTCAGCAAATTTCTGTACCCACCACAAATAATCAGCAGACAATGTGAAGCGTACGTCAAATAAGCCGCCAGAATCCACCAGTTATCATAACGGATGAATCGTCCGGTCGTCGTCGTATTTTTTGTTTGTATTCTTGAAATGACGCGAAGAATGAGAGCGATTGTGTCTATGATCAAGAACGAAATTATCGACTCCAAGTTCGCTATTCCATCTAGTAGAATCACAACCATGATTAAAAATAACGACTGTAACAACTGACGCAAAGGTAAGGATGGAGGCATGGAATTGTGATGTGGGAGGGTCTACATGGTGTAGATTAGATTTGAAGCCTTTTTAAATCTGAGAAATCAAGTGAATATTACAAACCACATGAACAGCGCCATGAAAGAGATGAAATATTAATAACAGGAGGGTAAAGAAGACTTGGGTAGCCCCCATAACCTCGGATGAATCTGACAACGAGTGTGATATCAAATCAATAGTGCACCTTCGCGGCGCGACATCACAGCGAAACGGTATACCAAAATCCTCTCTCCTCAGCAAAATAAGATCATCAGCGGTGGCACGAAAATATAAATGATTCTGAACTTTCAGGAACCTTAATAATTTCAATCTACAATTGATATCTATCAGGCTCTGGAGAGAACAAACAAGTATTTCGCGAACGTCTGACGTTATTCCACGAGTCCGTAGGGGCACCCGGATAGTATAGTAATGAAAGAGAACTATCTCAAAGCGAATGCGACAACGAGTGACCACATGTTAGTGACAGACGTAGGTAGAGGATAAAAACAACTAATGTATACATTATTATAAGACGGTTTGATCCTGCCGACAATATACGCAAAAATGTGCCTTGCAGCATTATTGACAGCATATCGGAATCTACAAACCGAGATTGCATGCAGGATTGGATTTGCTATCTCAAGCGCCTTCTTCAGCCAACATCAATCCGACGGCTCAGCATTCAAAGACATCCGCATTCATCACATGCAGATACGTTTCGTGCCGTGCCGTACTGGCATTTCCGTGCTTTATCATATGGACTAATGTATGCAAACTTGTTCTCCAGTGAAAGTCGCTTGGTAAGGTTTGAGGAACGAGATTTGGTGGTTCCGTGCGTGGACATGGCTCAAAAGGATCACTTGGCCTCTACTTATTCCATCTAAACCTGCTTATTCTCCCAGATTACTTTTTAAGTTTCATCTGCAATTCTTCAAACATTCATAATCCTTTCTTCCTTCTTCCCATCACACAAACTTCATACACACGAAACTAGGTACTGAAGCTAACAGCACAACGAGACCGTTTGATTATCCTTCTCCTACCTAAGAAAGGATTATTTTCGTTTTTAAGAGGCATTTGTATCTTTTCACTAACTATCCAATAGGCATGTATTTCATAGGATATCTTAAATACAACTGAATGCCCCTGCCTATCTACATGTGTGCCACTTTTCCCAATACCTTCGAAATACTAATGCTATGCATATGACGATCCCAAATACCCAAGGATTCTCTCTATTTCTAAGCGTTAAACTAAAAAAAATCGTAACCTCCTTCTTAATCATTAACTTAATTTTCACGTTTCTCTCCATCTTTAAGGACGCCATCTCCTTCGCTCTCCCCATGAACATTCAAACTTCTCGCCTCCCGTTCCTCCATATCCTCCACGGTCTGTTCCGCCTCATCTTCATTTGACGATGCACCCCTCATCTCCGCCAATACACGTGCCGCTTCCGCCGCAAACTTGCACTTCATCCGGATAGAAGCTCCATATTTGTAAAAGAGGAATGGGAAAGGTAAACAAGCCAAAGCGAGGAAAGCCGGGATGGAACTTGCCCAATGTATTCCGAGGCTATTGAACATATCTAATCAAACAGTTAGTTATCTCTTGACACAGCCCTGGGGTTGAAAGTAATAGTTACATGTAGTAAATAGTGGGAACGCCGCACCAAATAAGGAGCGGAGCACACTGCTGGCCGCCAAAGCGGAAGCGGCGTAAAGTATATACGAATCTATGAGATAATTCATAATACTCAAAAACACTAACACCATACCGAAACCAAATGGAGCAGCGGCGATAATACTAACACTCCAATGGATACTTGGAGAATTTGTCCATGCGAACCAAAAGAGTCCAATAGGCAAACAGATACTTCCGACAATGGCAGGCGGGAGCCGAGCTTCAGGCGGAGCGGCACCATTATGCCTAGCAGCTGTATCGTTGTATCGTTTATTATCCCACAGTGAATAGAAGACTGCAAGCATCATCCCAACTGCCACACCACAGAAAGCCAATCCACCTATACCAGCACTCCATCCACGGTTCTCTTGGTACACGATTGGAAATGCTCCGAACATCATGTACAGAGTTCCGTATATGATGGCCATGTATAAACTCAGCAAGAACACGATAGGTTCTTTAAACAACAAGATCCAGGGTCTCAACAGTGACGTTTTGAATTCTGCTGCGATGGATTTAGAACCATATTCGACTTCTATCTTGGACTTGTAGACTTTTCCCGTCATCGAAGACATTTTGTCGGCTCGACGACGAAGAATGACTGGGGAATAAGTTTCGGGAATAAGGAGGCCGCCCATAATCCAAAGTGCTCCAGTGAAGATGGCCATAAGGCCCCTATTAACAGCGTTAGAAACTCTATCCAATGCTTGGTCTGATCAATGTAACTTACTCAATCCATCTCCAACCTTTCGCTTCCCCTAGGAAGCCTCCTACAATGGGACCAATGGCAGGACCCAAAAATGGTGCTGTAGCATATATACTCGTTGCAATTCCACGATGAGAAGCAGTGAACATATCCGCGATAACTCCACCCGCATTTGTAAGAGGCGAACTTCCAAAAGATCCTGCGAAAAATCGCATAAGCAGAAGCGTCTGAATATTCTTTGCTCCGGCAGCCCCAGCATTGAAAGCAGTGAGCATAGCATAAGTACCAAAGAAAAGAACCTGACGACCATATAATTCGGATAAAGGAGCCCACATGAGAGGACCGATAGCAAAACCCAAGACGAAAAGCGAGACACCTAATGTAGCGACTTCCGGACCGACTTTAAACTCTTCGATAATTCCATCAACATCGCCCGTATATGCCGAGGATACAAAAGATACTGCTAATGTCGCCTGTCTCAAAATGTTAGTACAGGTTAAGAGTGATACTGTGTCACCTCACTCGTCCGTCACACAGTTTAAACTTCGGCGAATAATAACCGAAAACCTTGAAGCAAAAAAGGGGAGAGCTTACGCAAGCAAGAAGTACTGTCAGACTCCATTTCTTCAACATGCTAAAGTTCATAGGATTTCTGCGATCATTGGGAATATATTCCACGACATAAGGATCCTGTTCAGTACCGGACCCCTTGTAAGGGTAGTTGAGGACTTCGGGCGTGACATGAGTTTGATCGAAAACCAATTCCCAATGTTTAGCCTTTTTCTGAACATATTTCTGTTCTTCTAAATCTCTATCCATATTCACTTTAGTAGAAGAAGCAGAATTCGAATCTGAATTTCGAACCATGATGTCTTCGCGTATATATGCGAGTGTTGGGTAAGGTTAAATAAAATCCCTGTCAAAGATAAAAATCGAACATCCAATGTGTGGTTGAACGAGGAGCTCAAAAAGTATGCGGCGCACTGCATACATTATATACCACGTTCAAGTATCATAGCCACCAGAAAAATCCCAGAGCATCACCTGCTGATATATCGAAGCCGCTAATTGCACATCCGGCTGGTAGACATAAAACCATTTATGCGAATTATGCTCGTTAATGCACATTATGCAATGCACCCGTCAGGAATATTAAGTATCCGGGCTAAAACGCTCCCGATATGTTGTGAATATTTAGGCACGTAGTAGATCGAAGAAGCCTAAGCTGAATTATGCAAATGAGTTTAAAAAAACTCCAATTTTATGAGTGGATCTAAATTCCAAATGGGGTAAACGAAGTGTTTGAGATTCCGCTATCGAAAATCGTGTTGTTTGTGATGGAATGTAGCCTAACAGATGCCGACATAGCCGTACGTATCTAAGCATTGACGGAGATAGTATTTATCGCCATGACTCCCTATTATAATCTTCTATCCATCTTGAAGAAATCAAGGTTTTGAATACATTCAGGCTGGGACCAGATAGATTATTCTAGGATTCCCATGTCCACGGCGGAAGTTGACGTTCAAGATTCAAGCTGAATGGATGTCACACGGATGAACTTAACGTGACACGAAAAAACAGTATGCTCATTTGTCCTCTGATTGATAATGGTGACGACAGACATCCAGTAGCATCCTTCTATTTCAACATACGGCCCCTCCTAGAAAAGGTTCTTATATTATCTTTTTGTTTTCTGTCTCTTCTTGTCCTTCACACTCATATTGACCCGTTTCTTAATCGCATCATGAGCATGTTTGTTGACCTTGGCCTTTTCTTTTTTCTCAGCTGCAGCGGATACCTGAACTATCCGTGCAACCTCTTCCTCGAACCCACCCCATTCCTCACCGTCTTCCGGTCCGTGGTCGTAAGATCCCCCAGGTTCCATTTGGGTATGTGTAATCAATTCTTCTGCTTTCTCCTGATCTTTTCTGATTGGTATCCCCATTAAATCGCGTACAAGATGTCCACGCTCATCTCGCAGAAACTCAGCTTCAAAATCAACCGTTGATGTTTGGTCTCTCACAAATCCTGCCAAGAAGAATCCCATAGTAGCATGTTCATCTCCTTTGTTGGCTCGAATACATCCCTCTGCAACCACTTCATCTCCATCACATGCTTCCACAGAACCTCGGACTGGCCACTCCCTCATGCCCCTGATTTGATTATCACGACGGAGAATTCTCCAACCTCTTTCCTTGGCTATTTCGGAAGCTAAAGCCTTTTGAACAACTGATTCATTTTCCTCGGCGTGAATAGAACAAGTAGAGTAAGTAATCTTTCGAGCAGCAGGATACTTGAATGCATGAAGAAGAAGTTCCAGTTGAAATTCTGCAAGGGCGGCTAACCTAGATTTAAGTTCGGCATCGGTATCGACGGCAGTGACGACTCCATCGTCATCAACCATGACTTCTAATTTATCCCCATCACCTTCACGCTTTCGTTTCTTATTTGTTTCGACTGGCTCTGGTGCCTTCTTCGGCTTCTTTTTGTTTCTAGAAGGTTTTAAACTAACCTCCTTGATACCTGGTAAGTGTAACTCCGGCATATCATCTCTACCAACAATACCGCTTCCTGAGCAACTTGGATCCAACAACAAAGCGCCAACATTCTTGTATGTAACGGAATTAGGATCAGTCTTCAAGAAATCATGGCCGGCATGAAGAGTAGTGAACGTATTTGACCCTGCTAGGTTGACCATCTTATCTAAAGTTTCAGCTCTTCCTTTGTTCTTCTCAAACGCGTGGATAACTTGAGTAGATTCGTCCGGTTCGGGAAGTCGATCAACCAAAATAGCCGCAACATGAGTAGTCTTGTTACCAGGTGCTGAACAAGAGTCGATAATATCACCATCTTCGGCAAGAGGATCAAGAAGATATGCTGGAAAACATGATGCTTTGTCCTGGAAGATAATTTCTCCAGATCTGTATGCTTCACTCTTTGAAAGATCAATATTTGGTGATATAGCAATGAGATTTGGAATATGAACATCGATATATATGTGTTTAGAACCTCGATGTCTGACAGCATCAATTGTTGCTGCACGTTCAAATCCAGTAAAAGTAGATTCGAGTTGATCCTCAAGAGTAGTTTTTAAAGTGTTGATACGAATCCAACGAGGGTAAGGTGCTTCAGATGTGTCAGTTGCATTCTCCTGACCTGTCTCGACATAGGCTTTTAAAGCTTCCATTGTGCTTATTTTCCTCCGAAGTCTTGCCTTGGTCAATTCTGCTTGCAATCTTCCCTTATGTCGCTCAATTGACGCTCGTAAACCATGAGTGGCTGGAAGAGCAATTCCTCTTTTTGCCAATAATAAGTCATGAACGAGGAGAAGAGACACGATTGCGGTTAGCTAGAAATTATATTAGCACAATTTCAAATTCTTATCAACGTTAATCACAACACTGACCTTTCGCTCCAATCGTAATAGATCTGCATTTTCGACAACTTCCTTCAAAATAGGACTCCATTTGCATGATTCTATCGCCAGAGCATAGATTTGAGCTGGTTGTGATTTCAAATCTTTCTTGCTGAAAATTCTTGATCTTAAGCTACCACCTTGATTAGCAGGGGCAGCTAGAACTTCCGCTGCTTCATAATAGAGGGACATTATTTCTGTAAATGCTGGTGATATTGAAGTGAGGGTGCTTTGGTTGGAAAATATCAAAGTACAAATTTCTCGCTACTGTGATTGGTCATTAGAGGTACCTGATGCATATGAGAAGTTATCACAATGAACACAAGAGGTTAACCATAATTTGAGCGACTATATCCTTTTATGATGGAAGGAGGAGGGCTTGAAGATTTTCTTGAATATGTAAAAAAAAAAATCAAGTCAACAGAACCAACAGGGGGATGGATGAATATTTCGAGAATCTCATAAATTGTAAGCACGTGCCATCACTTAAGCTAAGGTTAACTATCTTATCGGGCTGGCGCGCTAGTGAAAAAAGTCGGACATCCACCAAAATTTCTCAAATCCATCGATAATCCAGCACAACGACAAGCTGGCTCAGAAAGAAACACCGCCAACATGAGGTAAGAATCCAAACTCCCCTTTCCCATCATAATATTCTTCAGAAATCATTGAAATTTTGAGATCTCAATTGCAATTTTACTTTTTGACCATGAATCCGTCAGTCGCAATCTTTAACTCTGCTAACTCATCACAATTTTAGAATTGAAACCTGTTACTTTTGCTCGCAGCCCTGCTACCCAAGCAAGGGCATAACATTCGTTCGCAACGATGCGCGAATCTTTAGATTTTGTCGTAGTAAATGCCACAAGAATGTACGTTTCATCCAGTCTATTCATCTTACGATGCAGAACAATCGAGACCTCATTCTCAAACTCACAACTTTTTCTCAATTCTTCCTATCGCCAGACCGAAACTGACACTCTCTTTCTAGTTCAAAATGAAGCGTAACCCCCGTAAACTCAAATGGACCAAAGCTTTCCGTAAAGCTGCCGGCAAAGAAATGGTCGTCGACAGCACCCTCAACTTTTCCGCTCGCCGCAACGTCCCAGTCCGTTACAACCGTGATCACATCGCCACCACCCTCAAAGCTATGCAACGTGTCTCTGAAATTCGGGCCCGTCGCGAACGTGTCTTTTACAAGAAGCGCATGGAGGGTAATGTCGCCAGACAAAGAGAAGCCAACAGAAAATTGGTGGCCGAGAACGAACACTTATTGCCAAAGATGCGTGGAAGTGAGAAGAAGAGACTTGAGGAGTTGGGAGAAGAAGTTCATGAGTTGGATTTGGAGAGAGAGCAAAGAAGTGTATTTGGAAAGCAAAAGATCAGGCTCAAGGAGTTGGTTGATGGTGGTGTGGAAGAGGCTGATGATATGGAGATGGATGATTGAGGGATTTTTGAAGAAACCGCCACTTCAGATTGATGTTATGTATGGTTTGGGATGGCCATCAGAAGCTGGTTTGGAAACGACAAGGTTGTTCTGTCCAACTACTTTCGAATCGCCAATATCTGGATCAACAATGTTAGAATGGCTCACCAGAATATATCATGGAAAATCAATCTTTATTAAGGGAGATGGAGTTATGGAACTATAAAAAAAGGCGTTTGGTATCACAATAATTATATTAGTCTACCTAGATATCTTAGGAAATTTCACGATATAACAATTGTAAAGACAAGATTGAATATCTCGATATTCTTTCTATTTACAGCGTACAATTTACATTTGCAAACGAGACTAGCTAGACATAGCACCGGAACGTCTAAGACATATACATAGTCTATATAATTCCTAATACTCATCATCCATAAATATATATCTTTCAACAATTCCCTACCAATATCTTTCCCCGCTTAACATCACGATCTATATACTCGAGTATATACGTACATATTACGGTACAGATATTGAACAAGAAAGAGTCTTCTATCTATCTAATGACGGATTTACACATAACATCAATCATACATCATCATATATCACAAATAATCCTCACATCTTCCAAATCTTCACCACTTCACCACTTCACCATTTCAATATGAAAATATCAAGAAATGATTAATAAGAATCTAACAATCTCATCCGTGTACGCCTTCATACATACGTACAGACATAAAAAGTTCAGATAAAGCCAACGCAACCAATAAACCACCCACATCCTACCGATTGAGTACCATGCCTACTCATAATAACCATTGAATCATGTCGTTAAATGTCTAGAGGAAACCATCCGTCATAAAAAAAAAATCATTGCAAGCCTCCACCCCTTATCCCACTTTCCATTTTTTGAAAATTCCACCCATAAATGTACAAAAAGTACAACCGTATACTCCTACCCTCAACATAGGAAACTCGTGGAGAATAATTAAATAACCTGCCAATTCGATAACCTTCTTGGAACAACGCCACATATGAGTTATCGTAAACATGAATGAATAGATGATGGTGAGTCGGGAGATGGTGAGTAGAAAGTGTGATTGTTCGTAGAGAAGTATGTGTTTAAGTGAAAAAAAAGGCGAAGAAGCCCGGTGAACTTTTATGTTGTACAAAAGCAAAAAAGAAAGAAATACTCGCAAACACAATCAATATCGAACCCTAGATGCGAGCTGAAGGCGTAGCAAGATTTGCAGCTGGAGCGTGATAAGATCCAATAGTTTGAAACCCCCTAATAAAAAAGTCAGTAAAAATTTCACTTTTGAAAGGAAAGGACTAACCTTGTAAGATCATAACCTTGTTCTTCTTCCTCTTCAAGCTCGTCATCATTTGAGATCTGGTGCTTTCCTGGGTTACTATTCCTGGTAGGACTCATAGCGAGATTTCTTCTCATTGGAGGTGGACTGCTGCTAGGAAGAACTCCGGGTTGAAAACCTTTAATAGGACTGCTAACATCATAAACACTAAATCCTCGGAGAGGAGTGACTCCAGCGAATCTCCAAAATGGAGCAGGGGAACTAGTTGGCATATGCTGACTTGGTCGCTGTGCAGTACTTGGTGGAGCTAAATGTGGGTGAACACGATGTGGAGCTGGCGTGACGAATGCGTTACCCTCATCTTGTTGATAGGAAGGTGTAAGAATGGGTGGAGAACCAGGAATATTATCAGAAAGACCAAGGGTACTCTTCTGGGCTCGTCGATGTCTAGGTAGAGGACTACCATCGCCAGGTAAGTCATCTTGCAAAATCTGGACCCTCGGAGCACGTTCGGGGGTATATTGTGGTCCTTGAGGTGAGTACAAGTTCATAAATGGTGAGCCTGAACTTGGGGATCGCTTTTCTTTAACAGCAGACTCCGGACTAAATTCATCTTTAAAACCTTGATCGACAGTTGCCACTGGTGATGCTGGTTGTGAAGATCCCCGATGACCACCACCTCTACCAGGTGCTGAACTTGCAAGAGCTTTCATCTCTTTATACCGTTCCTGCTTGATAAACCACTTCATACCTTTTCCAGGCTCGTCCTTTCCACGTGGTGTCTTATCATAATTGTGATTGAGTGAAAGGTTGTGGCGAATAGAGTTCTTTTATCCATAGTTAGTCCTAATTCAATCAAAAAGATGATTTAACAACTTACTTGCCAACCGTGGGGTGGTTGATGTCTGTAATAAGCATATCTGCGCATGATGTATTGATAAATACCATTCAATACCAAGGTCTCACCTGGAGTTCCAATAATTGCCTGCGCAATCATTTGACTGTAACTGTAACCTGGCTTGATATGGGCATTAGAATCGAGACTGAGGTCAACACTTTCAGAATCATTCATAACCATCGTACCGCCAGCCGAATATGCAGGAGGCGATCTCTTATTGGAACCCGGAATTTTGATTCGAGAAACAGGATGAGGAGTACCAGGGCGCTGATAACCTTGTGGAGCTGGAGCAATCGCTTGTGGAGCTCCATTAGCTGAAGGAGGTGGGAGGACATCAGGAGTTTCTTCTCTATGTCTCCGAGCATCCTCTGTATCCTCGGCGCTTAACTCGGATCTTCGTAGGAATGTCGGATCAATTTTGAAATCACCGTCAGGTAGAACGAACATCATCTCAACTCCAGATATATCGATAATAGCTCCACTGTGCAATTCTGCAAATTCGTTGCGGCGAAATATCCTATTGTCAACCCTGACTCCATTGCGACCACAGACTTCCATTCTCCAGCCATCATAGTAATAGATTGAGGCATGTTGTCGGGAAATCATCTTGCTTGGGCCAAGATCAACATGGACTTCGACGGGAATGAATCCTTCATCGTGACCTTCAGCCTCAGCAGAGTGACGACCAACATTGATTCGCAGGTCCTTGAGATAATAAGTCCAACCCTTCCCAGCCAATTTTGCGAAAGCTGTAATTCCACCTCTGCTCTCCTTTGTATGTTTCTCATCCCCATGATCTTGGCGAACTTGTATAAAACCGGGTAATCCCAAGACTTCAGTGACTCTGGAGATTACTTCTTCCTTATCCATTTCGGATGTAGGCGGATCGCGTGGCAGTTGATTCGAGGTTAGGAGATTGGTAGGTTCTTCAGTCTGCATCTTTGATCAGCTGAAGTGGCAGATGCGCAATGATAAAAAAACTTACCTTCTTTCTTCTCTTGGAAGGACGAGAAGGTGAGGAGTCAGGAATATCAACTTTCATCATTGGTTCTCGACGTGGCCGTTGGGCCCTCTTACCGGAAGATGGCATTTTGGGCATTTTTTTGCGACAGCGTTGACCCGGTGATTATTGTGCATAAGACGTGGTATGGTTCGGTATGGTTGTTGACAACTAGAGCGAACAATGAGTATTATGCCGTCGAGGAATAGCAGATGTAGAGGGAGCGGAGAGGTGCAGATAACCCTTGCGACAAAAGTGTCAAAGAGTTACTATAATGAGGGAGGGAGGGAGGGAGGGTTGTAATGATGCGACAAGACAATGTAATGAAACAACAACTTACCACAAACCTCGAATGATTGATTGATTGATTGATATAATAGCAACTTAGCAATCAGCAAATTGTATTCTTTTATTGAGATGTCGACGATGAGTATTAGTTATTGTATTTTGTAGAAAGGAAACCGTTTTTCTTTGCGATTCTCCTTCCTTCAATGATACAATCAATCGCCTCTTGTGTGGTAACGTTTCCGTCACGCGGAAGTCGCGTCCTTGTTTAAGGTGCCTCTTTTTTTTTGGAGTCGGGAAATTTGTATGTAAATTAACGTATCATGTTGGATGTAATTAGAAATTCCCTGATCAACTCAGAATAAAGGAAAATTACCAATATTTGATTCACTTATAAGTAGGTAAGGAAATGGAAGAATGAACAACTTTTATATAAAAGTTGTTGGATTTGATTGTTTGAAAGGGATTTTCTTTCTGGTCGCGAAAATTGGTTGTTTAATTGTTCGGCCTCTGCATTTTTTTGAAGTGAAATTTGACAATCGGATCATATGATTGGTAGATGGAAACTTGGAAAACAATCGAATCCCTCTTGACTTGGTCCGTCCATTTTATTTTATCATGGAATACAACTAGATATTGAGGCAAAACTAAGATAAAGATAAATGAAAGGATGCTATTACTATTTGATATCATGATGAATTCATGAATCTTTCATTGACACATATCCGTGTTGAGTAGAAAATCAATAGTGATCTCTATTTCATGGTGTTTTTAATGCATGTTAGATCCCTACCTCAGGTACTTACAATCCACTCTCAGCATTGATGCTTTAATCATCGATACCTCCTCTAGTATTGCGAAAAGAGTGTAATATTACGAATTCTCTCTTGATTATGTTTCAGTATGGTGAGGAGCACCGGAGGTTTTATCATTAGAATCAGATTCAGGACCCTTGAGTAAGAGATATGCTCTATTGATCATCACGATGTCTTCCCTAAATTCGACTACGCTTCGTCATCTACACCCGACTTGAACGGCTACTTAGCTTTCATCTGCTATTAGCACATAAATCCCATATAAATACACCCATCATCCATCATCCATCATCCATCATCCATCATCCATCTGTCATATATAGCCAAACTGACTCTCCTCAAGCAGCTATGCCATTGTAATTTGTAACTCTCTGTTTAATAACCCACCCAATTTAAATCTTACCTTACCATCTGTGCTCAACACGTTCAACTCATAGCTGCCCTACATCTCCACTTCTCTGCATGAGATCATTCTCTCCAGTAGCAAGGTCCCTAATATCTCTCCCCCATCCCAAACATTTGACCCCCTTTTGCACGTTTCTCCCCTCTCATACATTCCCCATCAAAGCCTTACCTAAATGCATCCATTGGTATCTCTTCAACGATTCCCATGACATATCGCATCCCTCCAATCCACACCATGAAAATGCCAACCCAATATCCATCGAATCATCATCCATCGAATCATCATCCATCGAATCCAGCAAGTCCCACAAATCTAGACCCCACAAAGCTAACGCCGATCTACGGTGACATTCGGGAAAATCGACGCACGCTAACTCCTTCGATTCATTTAGACTTTTAAGCCTCAATTCGAGTTTTGTGTTGGTGATATATCATCTGTACAGTAAAGATATAGATAGATATATTTATACAATCTCACGTCTTTCTATTGTTGAAGTGTAAAGATACTTTATTTAATAACCATCATTTTGACATCCAAATTCCAATACGCGAGGAGGTAAATGAACAAAAAGAAATTCTTTCTCACATCACGGTAAAATATCATTCCAACCAAAAAAGCCTCACCCATCCACCCACCAAACCTCTCTCTAGCTCTGTACCTACCATGCAACGTCAAAAATCCAACCTCAACCTACAAAACAAAGCAAAATAAATCCAAACCCACCAACGATACGCCTAGGTAGAAACAAACCATCAACCTTAAATCTGCGCAACCATCAGATATCTATCCAACATCCAATCCCATCCAATCCCATCCAATCCCATCCCATCGCATCCCATCGCATCCCATCGCATCACTAGCCAAGTAATCCATGTTCACTCCGCCACATAACAATAACCTAAATACTATACCCAAAAGAGTCTCACTAACAGCGGGGTACATAATGAACGGTTATGAAAAAGAAACGAAACCAGAAGAAAAAATGACAGAACCTAGAATCCCTACAAGCTTTTTAGACTCCAAATCCCGAGGTCACTACCAGCATCCATCTAAGCAACCACTTTACCTATTTCGTCATCATCATCATCCATTATCATCATCATCATCAAGAAACCAAATCCCCGCAATCCTCCGCACCTGAAAAATTTCATATATTAATTCATACTACCTACCTAGATACCTAGCTATGATAAACTTTTAAAACTCTAGGGCTTATTACAACCCTAAAATCTCATTTCATAACCCAATCCCGATTCAAATCATCCTTTTATTCTCTCATTCTCTTATCCTCGCTTAAATACCACACTTTTCTTCTCAATTAATCAATGAACTAACCAAAGTAATCAATTAAACCCCAAAAACCAGAAATTCAACTCACAATCCCATACCTCAAATTCGATAACCCTCCTCTCCCCCCGCCCGACTCCTTCATCTCCATCACCATCTTCATCCCCATCTCAATCTCACAAGCAATTTACTTTTATAAATACTAAATACCAAACAAAGAAAAGATATCACTCTTCTCCTTCTCCAACTCAATCCTAATTTCCCCTCAATTTCATCTTCTCATTACTACCTACCTATTTATTCACAGGTATTCTTACATTATAATCATTCACCCATTCACCCATTCACCCGTCCAAACAATAGTATTTTCAGAAAAAATTTAAAATATTCAATCCAACAAATTGAAATAGAATCGAAAAATATCTACAAAATAAAATTAGTAAATGATCCCCTTAAATCCCAATCATTCATCTTCTCATCCCATCATCCGTATCATCCCACATCATCATCCATATCATCAAAATCATCATCCATATCATCCATCCCTCATCACCCAATCATCCTTTCATAAAACCCCTGCCGTATCCAAAACAAAAAAACTCATCCATCCATTAGATAAGGAAAGTTTTGTTTTCCCTCAAGCATTATCTGCTAACCCATCCAAAATCCAATTCCATATCCAGTTGCAAAAATCCATACCATTAACTAGCCCAAGCCAAGGTTTCCGCTATACGTCGAATCATGGAAGCATATGCTCTTTTCCCTTTTACTTCTTTCCCTCCATATCCATATCCATCCATCTCAAACCCATCTACCACAACCCCACAATCCCCACCAAAATCCCCATCATCACCGACAAATATAAACCCGGTGCCTTTAGCTTGCCCCCCGCCACATTCGCCTCAACCGGCGCACTAGGCGCCACACTTGTCGCTTGGACACTACTCGCCGCAGTCTCAGTCTGCACATTCGTATACGTAGTAGGTTGAACGTAATAACTAGTGATTTGAGCTGGGACAGTGAGGGTACTAGGTTGAATATAGGTGGATGTTTTGATGTGAGTTATGTTTGCCCAGTAGGTTGTTGGGATTGTGACGGTTTTGACTACTGAGGGGATGGTGACGATGGCGATTGTTTCGATTATGTTGGATGAGGTTGTTGGGATCTGGGAGAGTGTTAGCGCGGATTAGGGGGAGGATAGGGGACGGTGATATGGAGAAGAAAACCTACGTAAACGGTAGTTTCGCCGGTTGCAGCGGGGAGAGTAGAAGTTAGGGTTTTTATGGCAGTTACTTTGATGATGTTTGTTTTTGTGGCTGTTAGGACGATGCTATATCAGGGATTGGTTAGCCCTTGGAGATTCTCCTTCAAGGGGAAAAGCATAAAACTTACGTTGATCCAGCACTGATGGTAGTATATACACTTTCGACACAAGACTCAGTTTCATAGACATCAGTAGTCTTATATTCAGTAGCTTGAGTAGTAGTGCTGAATTTGTTAGCCCGGGCTCTATTTGTAATGCATGATGAACTTACTATTGGAAAATAGTTGTAGGAACCTGGCCCTGGGTGACGATTGTGCTGGTATATACTTTTGTGATTGGAACACCGGCTAAAATTTGTCTGTCAGGATGTAAAATTTATGGAATAGAAATGTGGTTTCATACAAACTGTTTGAACTTCGGTAACTGGGCATAAGCTAGTAGAAGTCTGGTAGACATACGTTTCGATTCTTTATATCTAGTCAGCATCTACATCTCAAAGGTATGCAACAAGAATCCAAAACTCACGTCTTGGTTTCTCCTGGCAAAGTAGTTTTCGAATAATCAGTAACATATGCATTAGTTACGATGATACTAGTCTTTGTTTTCGTGATAGTATATTGGATACCAGAGATTGTTTGAACTTCAGTAACTGGGAAAACACTTGTGATCGTTTGAGCGACTCCGGTTTCAACACTATATTAATGATTAGTATATATTTATATACCGAAAGAGAAATTCTCACGTTTTAGTTTGCGCTGGTAAAGTGGTTTTGGAATACTCGGTAGGATATACATTAGTGACAATAAGACTAGTTGTCGTTTTTGTAACAGTATATTCGATTCCAGAGATAGTTTGAATTTCAGTAACTGGACACAGGCTTGTGATAGTTTGAAGAACTCCAGTTTCAACACTAATTGATGATTAGTTTCGAATTCGAAATACATAGATTCGGGGAATAAGGGTTCTCACGTCTTAGTCTTTGCTGGTAGAGTAGTTTTTGAGTACTCAGTAGGATAAACATTAGTGACGATGAGGCTAGTTGTAGTCTTTGTGACAGTATATTCGACTCCAGAAATTGTTTGGATTTCAGTTACTGGACAAAGGCTTGTGATTGTTTGAAGAACTCCAGTCTCAACACTACACCCATGGTTAATTTTTCATGCCCAATATATAGATTCCAGGGCAGGGATAGGGATCTCACGTCTTGGTCTTCGCCGGAAGAGTAGTTTGTACCTCCACTGTAGTTCCCACATTTGTGACGATGAGTGAAGTAGTTGTATAAGTGACAGTTACCAGATTTCCCGCGATAGTCTTTGTTTCTGTTACTGGGCAAAGGCTTGTGATTGTAGAAACGACTCCAGTGACAGCACTAAACAGAATATTAGTTTCCAAATAGAAAAGGAGTGAAGAGGCATTCGTACGTTTCGGTTTTACCAGGAGCAGTTTTTGTAACTTCAACATATGTCGGGACATTAGTTGTATATAATGAAGTAGTTGTATAAGTGATAGTTGTAACAACTCCCAAGATCGTTTTTGTTTCTGTTACTGGACAGAGACTTGTGACTGTGGAGACGACTTCGGTTACAGCACTGCAAAAATATTAGCTTCAAAAACAAGCCTCAAGAACTGAGAGAGGTCTCATACGTCTCGGTTTTGCCAGGGGCAATTGTTGTGGCTTCAACATATGTTGGAACGTGGGTTGTGTAAAAAGACGTGGTCGTATAAGTGACTGTCACTTCTTTTCCAGAAATAGTTGTGGTTTCGGTGATAGGACATAAACTGGTAATTGTCTCTACAACAGCAGTTTCAACAGCAGTGGTTTGAGGTGGTGCAGTAACCGTATTGACGATAATTGTGGGTACAACTAGTCTCGCGTGTCAGTAACTTTTCAACATCAAGTTGGTTTCTCCAGGACCCACCAGTTTCGACGACAGAAGTTGTAGCGTATGTCTTAGTATATGTTATTCCAGGAGCTGTGACAGTCTCTGTCACAGGGCAGGTGGTAGTATATGTGACCACAACCTAGCGAATGAGTCAATTTCGATTCCAAAGACATTTTCACGGGATCATCGTACATCAGTAGTTGTTGTTGCCCAACCAGTTGGACCTGGGACAGTAACAACTCCTCCGCAACCTCCAACACAGCTAGTGATCACTACAGTTGATGTTGCGATACTGGTGACCCATTTTGTTGTTCCTTTTTCGGTTGTTGTGGAGGTGACCTATGAAAAATAAATTAGATCTTGCCTTATGAACGTGAAAATATGTAAACAGTATAATATTAATCCTCATAAATGTTCAAACCCTGCTAGGATAGTGAGGATTCTATCTAGTTGCACGAATGTAGTTCAACTTAAGTGTGAGTAAGAACCCCGAGCATTGGAACCTCTCGTTTGTCTAATCAATTAATCCTCATCCATAGTATGCCAAGTATGGGTGACTTCATCTCATACCTCGAATGAGATTAAACAATAAGAATCTCATGATTATCCAAGCAGCTTCCAACTTCAGTCATACGAAGCATCATAAATGAACCATAACATACCGGACAGATTGTAGTTGAAGTATATGTAGTCCAAGTAGTAGTATCAGTCTCCACGGGATACCCAGGAGGGCTTGAATATTCAGGAGGACTTGAGTACCATCTTTCTTGAATCCCTTGAGCGAAAGTCGAAGTGGCCAAAGCCAATAAAGCGAAAGCCGCCTTCATTATTGCAATGTGTAACGATATGTTTTAGGACTGTACTCCGTCAAGTACTTGTATAACGATTGCACACTCTGAACTTTGCACCACAGAGATTGGGTATAACGACCGTCTTAAATAATTCAAAACAAGAGCGTTGGAAGCAAACTTTGCGTTTGAGGAGGTTGGAAGGATATAATATTTTCGGAATGGCTGTCACAACCAGAAATAAATAAGACACAAACACTGCGGGACAAGGGCATTATAATCTATTGAGGGCAAAGAAATCTTGATACTACCATGAAAAGTGTCAATCTTAGTGCATCTCATAAGGCCGCATATGAATCATGCTGGCGATTCAATTTCGGGCAGGTACCTATATATTTCTGGTCCACTAAGACACCAAAAAGTCTTCTTTGACTGGTCAACCACTATGCTACGTAACTTTGGGATACGAGTATAGTGCTGACCAACAACTGCTGGATCAATTATGAGCCAAGCTATGAAATCAGAACTCTAAGTATAGTAATACGAACATATCTTATGAACAAAGATCAATTCACTCGATGGTCAAGTATCTCGGAGGCTGCAGTCGAGGGAAGAAAAGGCTGGTATGAACATGGGGTCCTAGTCGCTAGATGCTGTGAAAGCAATATTATGATGCATGGAGAGAGCAACACGAGGTTCTGCATGATAAACATTGTTCTTGCATGGTGCCACCTCATAAATCGCATCTCCCGGGGAAAAGCGAGACCTGGTGACAAAATTTTGTTCTCTGTTGTCCGTTTTCAAGGCCTTTAGAATTGAAAAACGTGGTGTCTATTTTCTCCGGTACCTCTTGTACGAGCCAGCCGGGTGATACAATAATTTTGTACCTATACAATGTACATATTCTGACGAGTGATTCTCCCCTGCATAGGAAGTATTTTGACTTCCGTTTCTTCCGGGCAAGATGAACTTCTGCGAAGGGTACCGAATTTCCCTTTTCAAAGACTCGAGATCAAAGGCCTTCTTTGCTTGCTCGTATTTGATTGTAAGACGCATTCGGAATCTACTCGCGAACGCGGGGAAAAAATTCTTTACTAGGATCGAAATTGCGATGGGCTGAAAATTTGTAACATGCACAACAGAGGCGGGGTGTGGTCCAAGAGATAAATCAGGTTATGTTGGAATATGATTCAATTGAGGTACTTAAGTGAAGTACATCTAATTTGCGTGGGAGATGCATCGGTGATCCAACAAAGAAGATAATAAAAAAGGTGGAAACGATGTTGGCGAACATGGAACATTGTGCGACGATGAACTTTCCGTTGGTAAAAAAATTTCGCTTGCGCTTCGATGTGTCCTGTCGCCCTTGTTGTTGTTGTTGTTGTTGTTGTTGTTGTTGTTGTTGTTGTTGTTGTTGTTGTTGTTGTTGTTGTTGTTGCTAGGTCTAAGTTGGGTCGTAAATAGGCCTCGAACCGTGACCAGCACATGCCACCCAACCTTTTGAGTCGTTAATTTTCCTTGTCGACATGTGAGCTGATGAAAATCCGTATGAATGAATATCACTGGGTTGTACAGACTCACCCAAATATCGGGAAGTAATCCAGGTAGTTTTCATGATGTAAAATTTAAGTGGCTTAGGGTGGTAATGAACTTAAGCTATCTTGACCTTATCCGTATCTACCTGCATCTCCGCTAATCATCATCGTCGTCGGTATCACTTTCCCAACCTTCTTCATATGATTCGGCAATTTCGCCTAGCGAATTACTGAGTGCTTCTCGTTCATCCATTCCAATCGCTCGGTTTACTATCTGCTGAAGGCTTTTAATTCTTATAGCCACAGATGTATCTGTAGAAAGAGATGTACTGATTGATAGATTCGTGATATGCACATCTTCACGAGCGAAAATACCTGGAAAGCTATCGAGAAGGGGAAATGATAATGGTGTATATGTCCTACGAGAATACATAAGCAAAGTAGAGAGGATCAAGAGGATTACTAACCTTGAAAGCAACGGAAGGCTAGCAGCAATTCTGCGAGCCCGATCACGGCCTTCATCATTTCTGTTGTTTTCTTCATCGTATTCTTCATCTCCTCTATAATTCTCAACTTGACCAAATACGTGAACCTTCCCGGACTTCCGTGGACCACGAATTTGCTCCCCTGTTTCTGTAGGAAAGAAATCCATATCAAAACTGGCAGTATCATTTTCCGCAGGCATATCCTCACCACGACTTGAAATTGCTGCCGAACTAATCCTCGTATCTGTGGTGTTGTAATGTCCGTTCGTTCCCGCGTGAATAGTATCATTAATTACTGTCTCGGAATTTTGCTTCATAGTCATCCGCAATTTCGCAATATTCTGCCTTCCATTGACATTTAATGTGCTTGCTAAGTGGTCCAATGTTTGCCTTGTACCATTTTGCGGCTTTAACCTTGAAGGTAGCGTCATGCTTTCCATAGCGGAAGAAAACAAGCCAGAAACTTCCCATGGAGAACTTGCGTCCAATTTGATGTAACCTGGCAAACGTGTTGATGGCAGGGTCATTGGAATGAAAAGTGATGTTTGTGGGATGATTTCTGACACCGATTTAGCCGTGTTCGACAACTTTAAAAGGCGTTTTTCCTGTGGATATTAGTACAGGTATAAACTCCACCTTGGTTCAATACAACTTACTCGAGGGGTTCCTCTGATGTTATCCTCCAATCCCCAGAACCATACAGTGGTCTTACCATACTCATCTCTCAAACGATCCATGTATCGAGCAGCAAATCCACCCCAAGCATCATCAATACCTCCCATTATTTGTATGCCTTGCATATGATCAGCTTCTTCAGCAAAAGGTCGAAGATCACGATCCAGTAAATCATGCTCTTTATCTAAAGAGCTAAATAATTCTTCACCAGCATCCCAATTTTCGAATGGCATTAGTGAAGAATTTAGTTCATACTCATTAAGTTGAACTATTGATCTTGGATGATAGTAAACGCGATTGAAGTCGGACCAATATCGCACTAATTCGGAGGTGAGCTTTGGTGGTTCGAGACCTTCTTCCAAACTTTGTTGGTATGGACTTTGTTGAATAGCCGCTTGCCGTTGAACTACAGCTGGACCGTTCCTGACGAGAGGTTAGAGTCAGCTGAATAATTGACTTTGATGATATTGAACTACTCACCATAATCCATCAGTAATAACTGGCTCATCTATTTGATATAAAGCATTAATCTTTCTCAGAGAACCAAACCCTCCCTTCAGATCATAAATTAAAGTTCTTGGAGTAAAGGTCTCAGTACCATCAGCTCCAATACCAGGTCTGAAATGAATATCATGATCAACTAAAGATTCTTGATCTGCCGAATATGTAAAGTATGATTCCTAAAGACCAATCAGTAAATATTGAAGGTTTCGGAGAAAATGTTGTATTACCTGAGTATTCCAGAAATGAGTAGCAAGATAATTACTCTTTTGCCCTAACTGAAGGGTAATAATTTCATGCATGTTTTAGTACTTCTGGAGTCTCCCGCAAAAGCTTCCTGTACCTAAGGTATTGACAGCTGTCAAAGTTGTCCCAGCCGTCACAACCTCTTGTGATGATAAAAAGATAACCTTTGGTTGTCACTCAGCACTTGCATGAAAAGACAACTTTAATGCATAAGCTTACCTGACGTATATGATTGGTCAAACTTCGGAAATCTTGGATCAGTATACAGTGGAGGTATCTGATGATATTTGAAGGAGGGTAAATTTGGAAAATCTTCTCCAGATCAAATTGTTAAATCACCAATGTTTGATACTGATAGATTACTAACCATCCAGAACAATCTAGCAAGGATTACGATAAGATAACAAGCTGTGCATGCATGAGAAAGCTACCCCACATCTTGAAGCTTTTCCCCTCTATGAAATCATCGATTCCATCTCGTCGCCTTCATTTTCTTATTCTTGATAAATATCAATAGCTACATTCTTTCGCTGATCTGATCTAAAGATGACTTTTCAACAAGAACTCAGTTCATGGTTACCTCAATCTCCCACTAACGTCCAGTCACCACCAGAAATCAATTCTACAGCTCCCTCATCATCTAAACTTCCATTTCCAAATCCAAATGGAAAACCTACCATTATCACATTCCTGAGACATTGTGGCTGCCCGGTAAGTCCTGAATCCTTCGTTCATAAATCTTTTGCCCTTGGCTTCTTACCTCAATCTCTATTTCCCTCAATGTCTCTTTACCTAAATCTCTATTTACCTCAACCCCCATTCACCTCAATCCCACTCACCCCAACCCAATCCCCCCACCTCCAGCCAACCACCAAACCTCAGAAGAAATTACATCTAATCACCCTCCTCTCCTCCCCAGTTCGCCGAAAAAACCCTCCTCGCCCTCCGCAACCTCGCCACCACCCACCCAACCCTAAACCTAATAGCCATATCCCACTCCAGTTCCACCTCAACCACAACCTGGCTCTCTTCTCTCGGCGGCTCAGGACCCGTTCAAATAATTATCGATCCGGAGAGAGAAATCTACGCACAATGGGGATTAGGAACTAGTTCAGCCTGGCACGTTTTGAATCCTCGGAGTATGTTATCCGTGTTTAGACTTGGGCGTGAAGAGAAAATATGGAATAGACCTACGGAGAGTGGAAGCCGGTGGCAGATGAGTGGGAGTTGGGTTGTGGATGGGGAGGGGATTGTGAAGGGGGGTGGTGTGGCGAGGAGTGCGGATGATATTATGGATTTTGAGGAGGTGGTTAAGTTGGTTGAGTTATAGGATGGGGTATTTTGATGTTAATGTGATTACACGGTAAGGTGCGACGATAATGATTGCTGAATTGGATGGCTACAATACTTGTAAGATATGTTTAGCAAAGGTGTTCTATACAGAATTTTGGGATAAAGCTTTAACATAGATATTCGTATAATTCTTATCCAACATCCTCTGACATAAAGCCTCGCATACTTCCATTTGTATATTCCACTGTCACTTTTCTCCATCAGTTCCATCCTCTCATTCTTGCCTCTTCCTCTATTTAGCATTCTGCACAGCAGCCGAATCCTAGATACCATTCATCAGCGTTAATCATTCTCCATGTCCCCATACTTTCCCCGATTGTACTGCCTCTCCCAATTCCCCGACCTCCCATCTCTCAGCAACCAAAGCAAACCAAAAATCCACTCACCAAATAAACCTGATAAAACCCTAATTTCCATTTGCCGCCCTCCTGAACCAATTTTGCCCGGCCAGCCCATTCAACCTATCTCCATATCAGCACATGTTTTATTCAAAGAGAAGAGGATTCTCATGGAAAAGAAAGGAGCTGAAGTGAAAGGAATGAATGAATAAACGAATGATACTCACATCTGCTTTTCTCCCATCTTTCAATCCATACTGTGTTCATACAGGATATCAGTATTTTATCTTATTAAACCTCATCTCACTTCATGCACTCTTATCCTCCTCCTTTGCTTCCTCTTTTTCCTCTCTCCTTTTTTACCTTGGAGTTTGATCTCCCTCTGTCTCCTTCAAAACTCCAAACTTAACCAAACTCAAGAAAAACAAAAACGAAACTCACAGCCACATTCCCAAACAACATAACCTCTGTAGAATCCTGTCCGAAAGGAAAAATCTTATGCACAGTATGCAAACGACTTGCTACTTTTTCCCACATGAATTTTCTGAAAGCAAGGATTTCTGGGTTTTGGGGGGATGGTTAGTGTTTTCTTTCTGACGTATCTCAGATTTTGTTTCCTCTCTTTTTATTTCCTCATGAAACTCATCGTTGTTTCGGAAGGATAAAAGGTGTAGTCTCTCTCCTGTCTCGGTTCGTGTTCTCTAGAGAAGGCACTTGCGCTTCCTCCTCCTCCCTCTTCCTCCCGCAACCCCCGACATTATCTTTATTCCCTCCGTCTCCTTCACACACGTCACCACCCTCTCTCAAACCACAAAACCACATAACCCCTTCTCCCTCACCCAATCCCTATTAACTAAAGAAAAGAATCAAAACTCACCCTCCCTCCCCTTGACCCTCTTAACCCCAATAACCAACACCGCATCCTCAGTAAATTGATCCGCATACTAATCACCGTCGTCTTCCATTCCATTCTCATCTCCATCCATCCATCCATCCATTCCTCTCCTCTTCCTCTTCCTCTTCCTCTTCCTCTCCTTCCCTCTTCCTCTTCTCTTCCTCTTCCTCTTCCTCTTCCTCTTCCTCTTCCTCTTCCCTCTCCCTCCTCTTCCTCTTCCTCTTCCTCTTCCTCTTCCTCTTCCTCTTCCTCTTCCTCTTCCTCCCTCTTCCCCTTCCTCTTCCTCTCCCTCCCCATTAAAATCACTAACCCCATAAAACCGCTCCCAAAACTCTCTAATCCCCGCCTTTACCTCCACTCCATCAGGATAAACCGATTTATACGTATGTATCGTATGATTCAATTCTTGTTGTTGTTCAGGCATTTTTATTTGAGGTATTTGGGGTATTTTGTAGGTAAGTAGGTCGGTATTTGTTTGCGGAAGATCTGATGGATGGTGTAATTGTGTATGAGAAATGAGGTAAAGATTTATAACAAAAAAATAGATAAATGGATAAACAAATAAATAAACATTCAATAATGGTAGAGATACGATCTGAAAAAAAGAGGTATAGTTATTACAACGAAACTGATGAACTGTAAGAAAGCCAATTCAAATCCAACAGACAGTTGTTTACGAGTATTAATGGGATGAGATGAAGTGGGGTAGTTCCCAAAGACATATGGGTGGGGTTCTTCTCGGGTCCGAGTAGGTTCTCTTCCACAAATATTCATCATCAAATCGAATCACATCATAAAGACACCACATAGAGATAATAGAGTAAATCGAAAATCTAGCTTATTGTATACATATGTATAAATACACCACAATTCATTTAATGACAGCCATTTCATTCAATAAAACGAAGGTATTACTGCACACTATTCTTCCTCATGCATTGATCAAAATAAGTAGGCTGAAATTCATACTCCATCCATACCAGCGCCATCCATTTCTGTTAAATAATGTATAGATCCATTCACCCCCACCCTTGGTATACCAAGCAAGCAAAACTCCGCCCATCCAATTCGACTTCATGAAAGCTTAAAATTAACAAACTACTCATCGTCATCATCCGTTTTCAACACTGGATACAAACTTTCAACAGGCTTCTCCTCAGTCTTTACTTGGGTATCTTTCATATCAGTATCGGCCATGGATACATCTTCTTCTTCATCCTTGACATACTCTCCATTTTGAAGACGATCACTGACATATCTTCTTAAAGCTTCAATGACACGAATGTTTTCAATCCATGCCTCTTCAGCTCTGTCACGAGCACTCTCCAAAGTATCAACTGATCGAACAGAAGGTGAACCAGCATCAGAAAGAGCTGGGTCAATATTATTGGTAACTTCTGTCTTAACAATTGACTCAGGGCGAGGTGTAGTTTCCTTTGGTGATGGTGTTGGAGAACCAACAGTAGAAGTCTCCATAGACTCACGATATTGAGTCGAGTTAAGTCCACCAGCACTTCTTTGTAGTACACCACCAGAGTAACGACGACGAAGATCACTATCGAAGTTTGTACCAAGTGTGGATGTTGGTGCAGTTGCTGAATGATGTGGGGAGTAACCGAGTGATACAGCTGGAAGATTAGGATATGCTGCATTTGATGTTGAACTGTGTCTAGAGATGGGAGACATTCCACTCGAGGACATTGGGGAATTTCCGGAAGTATATGAAACGGAACTTGAGGAAGGCGTTAAAGCTGGTGTACCAGAAGAAACTGAATGAGATGAGTGAGTTGCAGTCATTGGTGCTGAAGCGTAAGAAGTGGAAACATGTGGCGCCATCGAACCAATGTTGTGGATATGAGTCTGTGGTGGCGAGTGACTTTGACGGAAGTTGATACCTTGGTGAGTGTAGTGAGCACCAGGTTGATGAATACCAGCAGCGGCAGCAGCATTTGAACTTTCGTATACTGTTGATTGCATCTGCTCCAAGAATTGATCGATGGAATTCAGATCACTCTTGGTCCTCAAGTTGGGTAGAGGAAGGGAGTATTGGTGTTGTGGCATGGGACCTCCATGACCATGTCCTCCGTGACCTCCGTGACCGTCAACTGGAACTAATTGAGGTGCTGAATGAATGTAATCAGAGATACCTCCACCTGTACCAATAGGAATTCCTTGTAATTGCATCAATCTCTGATTAACTTGTTGATAAGAATGAGCATCAATTTGACGACGCTTAGCAGCACCGAAGAAATCATTCAAGTTATCGAAATTTCGTTTCTTCTCATCCCAAGCTGCATGTTGACCGAGATCGGGGTTGTGAGACATTTGATAATAGCCTTGGCCTCCTCCATATGAAGATTGTTGAGGGTGCGCAGGTGCGTAATATCCACTATGACCACCATGATGCGAATTGCCATAAACCCCGGCAGAACCAGGATGCATCGAAGCATTATGATCATAATAACCCATGGGATTGGCTGCAAGGTGTTGCAAATTAGCAATTACTACATAAGAAAAATGTTAGAGACATATATAAGAACATAGGCAACTTGCGCCCTTACGTACCTTTACCGCCTGGTTGTCTATATCCTCCATTCGAGCCACCAGATTGTTCTGGGGTTCTCAATAAAACGGAATCATCGGCATGAGTCTAAGGGTGATTGTTAGCAAGGTGAAAAGAATACACGCCAGCTCTTGATCGTACCTTGACATGTTTCTTCAAATCTTGTGGACGCTTGAATGCCTTTCCACAGAATTCACATTTATGTGGTTTGAGTGGAACATGAACACGAATGTGAGATGTAATATGATCGCGTTTGACGGTAGTGGTACGGCATGAATTCCAACCGCAAGTAAGGTTTAAGTTATTGGTACTCTTTCTTCCAACATGTTTCTCGCAGATGTGATCCTAGAATTTAGATGTTAGCGCAAGGGCATTGAAATGATTCCATGTTCAAAGATATGAGGGCTAGGGTAAAATCAACCTACAAATAAAGCTTCTGGAGTTGGGCATCTTTCTGAACATTTCTCCCACTGACATAGTAGACTATCATCAGCTACGACATTTTGTTGAATTGATGAAGTTGCGGTAGTAGTATTTTCATTGTTAGAACTCGAAGCTGTCGAAGTCTGTGTTTGCACAGGCTGCTGTTGCTGCTGTTGATCTTGGCTTGACATTTTGAGCTTGGGGATAAGGTGGTTGAAATCAACCAATAATCAATTGTCGGTTAAATTGATCTTTTCACACAGACTAGACTGTGTATGGAAGAAGATAGACTAGTGACTAGCACAAAGGTACGGGTCTTTTCCCTTCTATCAATATTAAAAGTTGTATGAGTTTGATCGATGAAATGTCCAAAAGTTCTGATAAGCCGTTGACGCGAAAACTAGAATCAAAGAAAGTGAGTGATAAAAAGTGTAATTCCTCGAATTTGTTTTTCAAACGAGTCTCCAAGCAAAAGGGAGGATCTTGGTGCCTTCTTGTAAGAATGACGGAAAGACTGGGCGTGACTAAGTCTTGGCAAAAACTCTTGGCGACTCAATTAAGTTTGGCTTCCACTCCTAGTATCTTGGCATTCCACTCGCTTCAAACTTGAGTGGATTATTTAATTGGTTCAAAAATCTTGGCATGTATGGAAGGAGCATGCACCAGATCCTTTTGTTAAGGTAGCGAAAGGTAGCAAAAATTGCCAATACATTTTCTTCACCCTTTCACATCCAAGAGATTGCGCCCCGAGGCCAAGATCGGAGAAACTTGGCTCTCTTGGCACTGCGTATTCTCTTGGCATTTGGGCTGTGTTTTTGGTGTTTTCCTGCTTTTGCTTGCTCTCAATTACATTTGCTGACCTTTTTCCATTCATACATATTACAACGGTTTCATATTCATTTCATATCATGAGATTCCAATGATGCCACACAAGTATGGAGCGAAGATTTAAAAGAGAGTTTAACCTAGAGCGTATTTGCATGCACAATGTCAGAGGTTTAACCTAGAGAGCATCGGCACAACTGCTGACATTTGAACTTTATCATGATGCAGGTGGAAACTTTGGACTATCTAAACGTATGCAGGTGGAAACTTTGGACTATCTAAACGTAGAGTTTAACCTAGGGAGAGGATAGTTAGGATAGTTAATATTAGAAATATATTGGTGCAGGACAGCTGCATAGTCGGGGCACTGTACTCTACTCCGTACTTTCCATCCCCATTCTTCATTACGTACGTACGTACAGTAAGTAGGTAGGCAAAAGAAGGGTATTGTTTCCCCATGAAATGCAACCAAGTAGATAGAGAAAGAGGGTGCTCGTAAGATCTTAGCATTGATAAGTAATCAGTAATCTGCCCCTAAAGGTCCCCCGAGGCATCTTTCGTATCATGCCATATTGAGTGTCAGTCACAGTCATCGTCATCGTCATCGTCATCGTCATCGTCATCGTCATATCATGGCATTCTCGTATTTTTGGTAGTCTTACTTCCATACAGCATAGAAGTCTGACTTATCCATCGGAATCTCGCCTTCATATTCGTTCTTACGAGAGGTAGTACAGGAATCAAATGGCTCTGGAAAAAGCATCCATCCCTTGTTGATCACTAACTAATCTTTGCGGGGTGGGATGATCTTTATTTATTTCAGCTGATTGAGCGTACCAGCATGAATCAATCTATGGAGTACATGGTGCACCCCGGACATACATAATTAATTATGAACAAATTATGAAGTTATGAAGTTATGAAGTTATGAAGCTATGAAGTTATGAAATGATGTTTCGGCTAACTATTCCGTAGATAAATTGGATTCATGATATTTCCATCTTGCTTTCTATCTCACATCTCACTCTCACCTTCCATTTCACACTGCCCAGCCCTTGGCCACCCAAGATCTTTTCATCCCTCCGCCCATCAACCAAGCTTTTCCACTCTAATGCCAATTTATTTGCATTTCTTTTCATGTCAATGAGAAAACCTCCCTCCCTAATTTTAACTGGCCAATTAAGTTGATTTGCCTCGTCACATGTTTGTTACCACCTGTTCCAAGCAATTATCTGATCGCATATTGCAAACGGATTTCGGATCGAGATGCTCTCTAATCTTTCCTTAAATGCCAGTCTGATGGGCACTTACAAACTTCCATGAGTCACTGGCCGAGATAAAGTCATTCATCCTTTTTTCTTACAAGAGAAGAGCTGTCGAGCATGCCTTTTTCTTTCTATTCATTACTGCAAGATTTAGGTAATTGGGTCTCAAACAAGAGGCATATTTCAAGGTAGGTATGCTGTTAATGACAGGTATATTAAAAACAAACTCTTTTTTTCTATTCTCTCAGTTATAATAATATAAAAAAGTTTCTTTTCTTTCTATTATTGTATGATTGAAACAAATCTACTCTACACAAACAAATTATCACCATCCGTTAAAACCAACAAATTTCTATTTTTGAACATCTCCAGCTATTTTCATTTATCATGCCCCTCTTTTCCCCATGGCGGATGTCGGACAATACAATTAATGAGGAGTTCATACTAACCCGAACCTTCAAGATCATTTCCACACAGAACGGTGGAGTCAAGCTAATCTAGCTTTTCAAAACTAGAAAAGACTCCGGGTCCAAGTCTGGCGGGTCCCAAAGACGACTTTGGCCAAGATCAAGGGGACATTCCAAGCGCCTGTCTTGTTCGCATTGGTGCCCTTCTAAAGCTTGTCTGTTTTACTACAAGGAGCCATGCCATACATATAATGTACCGCAATGAATGAAACCTTGAAATGCGTGGTTTGGGGACTACTCCGGCAAGTCTTTTTGTGAAATTTATTAAGGAGGCGATTCAAAAGACTCAAGTTGAGTGAGTATCTTGGTGAAAATGTTATCGTATCTTCAATTCGCGCAGGCTTAAACCGGTTTCTACCACAGGAATAATGGTTTCTTTTTCGATGTTTATTTTGGTTGTTGTGAGCAATTTGTTAGACAAATATATGGCTCTCTAATGCCATCCCAATATTTATCAAGCGGTTCTTGATGCATCTAAATACTGCTCAGACTCGGATATCAATCAACTATCTAGCAGCCTTACAAGATTGTGATGAATGCTTCTCAAAACAAGCCATTAGCTTCTTTGGTCGACCGAATTCGGCCGAAAGATTTAGGCCACTCTTGCAAACAATCCCTCTAAGCATCCATTTCCACTTCTTGGCCACATACAAAACCCCACAGATGGAAGTTTGTGTATGCCAATTTAAGAACTATACAGTCGAAACAAGCACTGTTTTTCCCCCTTACCTACCCACTATCTCGGAGCCGGTGCAACCATTCAATGACTCCATGAAAGTTTCAACATTGAAGATCCTCCATTGTAAGCTTTGCTCTTTAACAGGATTCACTATCACAGATTCCTAATCACATAATGATCGCTTCCTAATCCATATCTTCAACTAGCGAACAACATCCAGAATGGCCAATCGATCAATCAATCAACGATCAGCAAACCTTTTATTCTTAACTGACTGGCTAACGATATATCGTTATCATCGTTGACTTACTAAACTAACTGATAAACCACTGATCAGCCAACATATAATCTTATTTAATAATAAAAATCTCGAAAATGAAAATATACTTATTCCCTCTCTCTCTCCCTCTCCCTCTCCCTCTCTTTCTTTTTTGGTTTATTTTCTTTTCACAAACATTCTCTTTTTGAAAAATAAAATCAATTATATTTTAACTAATCAATTAATCATCAATTAAAATCTAATCTTATTAATGAATAATATTCACAAAATCCAATTAACTAATTTAGTTTATTCGCTATCAATCAACACTATCAACTAGTTGACTGATTGATCACTTTGATTACGATAGAAAAAAGAACAATTATTTAATCGAGTAATTTCCAACCCTTATTGTAATATTATGATAAATATATTATTAGAGATCTACTCGCTCAATAGATCAACATTTATAATCTCTTTCATTTTTAAAAAGTAAATAAATCATCTTTTAAATTTATTATCAGCTTGTCAATATTATAATCTTATTATATATAAGGTTTACTTAATAAACGATAGAAAATAAAAAACTTGTTTAAATAAATCGCGATCCTGATAATCTGATTGGTTTAAAATACCCCGGTAAAAAATCTAACAAAAAGCTTGGTATAAGTCTTATAATCTTAAAGTTTTTTTTAATTCAACTCAATTGAAATCATTCAACTGTAACGATCTGATCGAGGCAGCGGCTGCCTCAGGTTTTCGTATGATTGGTAGTTGTAGATTAAGATTAATAATCACTGATTATTCACTCGAAGATGAATACATTACTAAATCAATTGAAATATAGATAAACTAATTGATAACTAAATTGAGTATAAAGCTTTTAAACTATAAAACTATTTTGATTATATATTAATAAATATAAAGAAACTTTATAGAACTCTAAAGCTTCAAAAAGCTCCTAGAGTTTTAAAAGCTTTCGAAACTCTCAGAGTTTTTTATTATATAATTAGAATCAGACTATATATCCGAGTTTGCTAAAAGTAGAGAGACTATATAAAACGATTATTATACAAATTTGTATACAAATCGTCTTGCTTTTCAATAAAGTCTAAGCTTATATAGATATATTAACTACTGTCTCTTAATATATTCTTATTTTAATCGTAAATTATAATATTATCTCTTTCTTAATTAAATATTATCTTAATCGTTTATAACCCTCCGGGTTTCATCTAATAATTAATGTTTTTTCTTCTTCTATATTCTATTTATCTTTCTTTCTTTGCTATAAACAATTCTAATTTTTCCAATAATTTAATTCAAAAAAAGAAAAAGGAATATATATATTTAGTTACGATTATCGATTCTATTAATATTGAGATGATTCTTTATTCTTATTATCGACAAAAGAATCGTTATTGTATTAAGGATCTCTTTGATAAATATCATTTGTATTGTTCAAAATATATATAAAATTTCGTTTTATATAATACTGAGTTTCGTTTGAAAGATAATTAAGATCATGAAATTCCTTAGAAACATAATTAAAAGAATCTTGATCGATAGATCGATAAATTGAATACTGAAATCGTTGAATCTTTTATTAAAATTGTTTATTTTGTTAAACAGAAAATATAATTCAAAAAATAATACAATGAAATATTATATTGCAGACTCAAATACCTTGATGAACTTGATATCTTTGAAAAAAAGGAGTGAAAAAAAAAGAATAAAGAAATTCTTGCAACCCTTCTATCACCTTCTAATCAATTTGATCAATTTGATCAATTATTAATTGACCTTATTAATCTCAACGAAATTCCTATAAACGAATTCGATTCTTTCGATCTCTTTTTATAGGAAACAATGAATTCCTTTTTCTTTTGAGTAAATCCGGATTTTATCGATGAAATTTCTGAAACCTCTTCAAGTATTTAATCTCTTTCTCAAATTTCTATATATTTTCGGAATTAAAATAATCTTC